AAATCCAAATGAAACCCCGCTTCTGCTCGGTCCTGTTAGGCTAACAGCCGGTCAGGTGCAGCTGGGCCTTTGTCTACGCGGTGGGGAGGACCACACTGATGGATTCGTCCCGCCTCCGCTGGCAGGCCGTCACTACCCGGAGGCCAGCCTGCGCGGGGCAGCCCTTTGTGTGGTGTGCGCCACAGGAGCTGGGCCCTTTGGGTCCCCTGGTCTTTGAGAATATTTTTGCTTTACAGACAAGGAGGAGGGAGAGTATCAGCTCGGTGGTGGTGCCGCTTTCCCGCTGCGGGAGGGGCCTCAGAGGCTGTGGGCCTTTGCTCACTAGTTTTACACCCAATATACCAGGAAAAATGGCCATTACCAGTCACTGGTCCAGTAGACAACCACCTTTTAAATCATTTCACAAATAATTTACAGAAGAGTAAAGGGAGATGTAAAAAAAAATTTATTATAAATTTTTAGTAAGTATTTTTTTTTTTAAAGATTTATTTATTTATTTATACAAGCACTGGTTACAGTCAGAAGCGTGGGAGGGTGAGAGAATTCACCAGAGCCAGAGCGGGGAGCAGAGCAGGCAGAAGGACCGAAGTACACTGCTGAGGGGAGCAGCGGGTGGCAGGAGAGGTCTGCGCGCCATGTGGGACCCTCCTCTGGTGGCCGGGGAGCAGCCGGGGATCGAACCGGTGCTGCAGAGGCTGCGGGCAGCTTCGCAACCCAGCGCTCAACCGCTGCGCCACCGCGGAGGCCCTTAGTAAGTATTAACAGCACAACTCTGGGTGTACTAAAAACCACTGGATTTGCATTTCATATAGGTGGGTATTTTTGTATATGAATTCTATCACTAAAATCAATCCTATGAAAACACTATTGTGTGTGTCCATATATATGAATTAAAGCAGCTATCAGTTTCCTATTATCCTGGTCTTGAAGGCATACAGACCCTAAGTGAGCACTCCCTGGAGGGCAGTGAGATGCTCAGTGACTGTCAGTGTGAAGCTGGGGTGTCACCTTGTAGCTGCTGGTTTCAGTACCTCTCTAATAGGCGTTAGTTTATTGCTTCTGGGAGTTGTTTTGTTCTGTACTTGCCTTGTTAATGAGCAATACTTTAAAACTTTTTCACGGCTCATAATTTTTGCTGGAGGTCAGCCATTTTCTTGCTCCATAATTTTAAAACATTTTTTATTTATAGACTTGAAAAGATTGGCTTGACCAAGCCAATGCATTTTAATATTTTTACAGCATCGGTTTCCCTCCAGTCTCATCTGCACACAGCTTTCTTCAACATGTATCCATTTATGAATTGTAACAAATTACCAAGTAGACTTGGGGGCTAAGTATGACAAGATGAAAGAATATTAGGTTTTTGTCTTAATTGTGTGGCAAAGTCCTTCCATTGAATGACTTAACTGAAAATGCAATATAACCTTTCTGTTTTTAGAAATATATTAGTCACTAATTCTTGTTAGTTTGAGAAAATTTATCAAGGAAAGGTTTTGTTTACTGATATGCATGTCTGCCTTCATGTTCTGATTTTTCTAATACATGTGATTGTACTGTCAGTTTTTTCTCATTATCATGGTTGGAAAGTGAAAAATCTTGAATTTGAGAAAATTTTTCTTTGCCCAGATTACTTTAAGATTTTCCCTCCACAACCATCCTTGTATCCCCCTGGTTACTCCCTCCTCCCTCCCTCCGAGCCTCGGAACCCTTGTGGTGTTTATTAATGTCCACTAGTTTTTATAAGTATTTTACATTGTCAACTCATCCATTTTGTAAGTGTCCAGGATTTGTTGCATTGTCACTTGCTTTACTACACACCATTCCCTTGAACTTCCTCTGTTTTGCTATAAATGGCTGCAGTTCATCCTATGGCTGAACAGAATTCGGTGGTGTGGATATACCCCATGCTCTTGATCCAGTCATCTCGGGATGACGGTGTAGGCTGTCCTAGCTGTTGGAAATAGTGCCGCGGTGAACACGGGAGAGCATGTCATTTTTTGCATCCATGGTTTCACGTTCTTTGGATAGATGCCCAGGAGGGCGATTGCTGGATCATATGGTATTTCCATTTTTAGTCTTTTAAGATGAATCCAGATGGATTTCCACATTGGCTGTAGCAGTTTACATTCTTCCCAGCAGTGTAATAGCATTTCCTCTTTCTCTGCATCCTCTCCAATACTTGGATCATTCTCACAGGTGTGAGGTGGTATCACATTGTGGTTTTAACCTGCAGTTCTCTCAAACATTTTTTCATACACCTCTTTGGTGAACTGCAGGCCGTTTATTGTTTTTCTATTTTGAATTATAAGTTTTTTATTTATCTTGGATTCACCCCTCATTGATTATATGTTGTATGAATATTTTTCAGTGGATGTCTTGACGTATATTTTTTTCCTGCTCTGTAAAAGCTTTTTAACTTGAAGTAATCCCAAGTGGTAGTTGTTGCTTTTATTTCCCTTTCCACAGGGGTTGAGTCTCCACAAACATCTTTATTGTTGATGTCCTGGAATCCTGAATTCTTAATGGCTATCTCTAGACTTCCACCTTCTTGAAAGATGGTACACAATGCTTTGTGAAATGCAACATGGAAACAAATGTTCACTATTACCTCTTCCTTTGAGGCAATACCATCATCCTTCCATTTTCTTATCATCTTTGTTTTGTTAGACATAGTTGGGAAGTACCGATGAGTTAACAGGAAATAATTTTTAGAATGGTGAAATAGTTTTTCAAGATACAGGGAAAAATAAAGCCATCAAAATCTCAATGTATTTTATACTTATAAAAGAATCCAATAAATCCATATGCTAATGGTGAGATAAAATGAGCTTTATTCTGTTTTGTTTCTTTTTTTAATTGGTAAGTTTCCTCATTATTCTTTGGAAGCCCGTGAAGAATAACAGTCATAAAATTTTAACCCTTACAAATGGAACTCAGGGAAAAAACAACTCAAAGACTAAATTTGGGTCCACTGGCTACCAACCATATACCAAGAGGTAAGCCTGTTTTCTGCTGAGGAAGAGGATAGCAAACCTGCATGACTAAAATTCAGTGCTCAGGACTTGTGGTTTGGTGGGAGAGGTGGGGAAGCCATGGACTAGGAGCAAGAAGGCCTCTGTATGGCCTCTCAGTCTAACCAGTGATCCTAGGAAGTTACGACATATGACTACCCCCTTTTTCTTTATTGCTGCGAGCCTCGCTTATCAGGAACATGAACCATGTCACCCTTCATCCAATTGGAGGCTCCTAAGGGCAGGAAAAATGTCCCATTGGGCTGGGGTATTCCATGGGGGAAATGACATCTCTCCTTCTGAACAGAAAGGGTGCTCTGCTGCACTCTATGCTGGTTTCGCCAATTAGCAGCCACTGTGGCCACGTGGAGAGAGTAGGCTTTGGCAATAGCTGGACCCAGGCTTGCTCTGCCACTACTGACCAGCCCATTGACCTTAGGAACCAAGTAGCTTCAAAGGTCTGAGACTCTAAAGGGATGAGGAGGGAGGGTAATATTCCCTCACAGGTAAAAGAAAACCAGGAAGCTCTGATTTAGTGTAATCAGTGGGGGGCCTCCTTCCAGGCACTGGGGGACACAAAAATGAAGTCAACACTTTTCTTGCCTCAGAGGGCACCCGAAGGTAAGTGGTAGCCCAGAGATGTCACACATAAAGGCCTGGCCATATGCCAGATGGAGAAGAGGGACAGAAAAGGGACGCAAGCAGAGGGTGGTCAAAATGGAAAAGGCATCAGCATTTGACAGAAGAGCCCTGGGGACATGCACGGCATTGTGGGGGAAACGGGAGAGCTTGCCCTGCATTGGCCTTACCTTTTGCACTTGGGCTTCCATCAGGGTAGGCAAGCCATTCAGTGTCTTCTTTGTTTTGGACTGGGAATTATCCCTAGGGTAGGGGCAGGCAGGCTCCCCTCCCCTCTCTGTCTTTATCAGTTGTGTCCAGATGGTCACAGAATCCCTAATCTGGGGTAATCAGAGGGTAGGAGCTCTGCTGGGACCCAGGCCTTTGTACTGGGCTGTGATGGACCAGCCCCAGCTGGAGAGACCATGCAGACAGGGCCCTGGGGCTTTGCAAGATGGGGAGGGCCTTTGGGCCATCCCCTGCTGGATGTGAGGAGCAGATGAAGCCTCTTCAAAAGGCAATCAATCAGTGCAAATGAGGGGGGGGGGGTCCAGATGGGGCCTGGGAGATCCTCAGGGCCTCAGGATCTAGGGCCGATTTTTGAGCTTACCCATCCCTAACCAGCAGTGTCGTGTTGCTGCTTCTAGAGACCCAGGCCACTCCAGGTGTTCATCATAGCATCAGGGGCTTGCTCTCGTGGACACTGGGTCTCACAGGTCCATCCAGGTGCAGAGCCAGCCTGGCCACCCCGGCTGTGGAGTGTGCTGTGAGCCCAGACTCTGCAGCGCTCAGGGCTCCACGACTGTTTTACTCTGCCTTGTTTTAGCTGCTCTGTGTTCTAGCCGTGAGCCTGATTTTTCAGGCCTTGTTAAGACTCTTGCAGTCTGAACCTCAGGCCTTGAGTTCTGCCTGGCACATGGCTTTACAACTCTTGTTTCTGGTCCTTGGACATGTTTGCTTACTTATAAGCTGATGCAGGCCTCTCGCTCTTCAGTTGTTTGGTTTTTAATTTTATTTATCCCAGCCAGGTGTTTGACTGGGAGAGGGGTGGTTTGAAACAGAACCGTCCTGACCAGGCATTCCTCATAGATTCTAATAAGAGTCACAGACTCCCGCTCACTACGTATGTGGCCTTGGATGAGTCTCATCTTTTTAATGCCGTTTCTTCTCATTAAAATGCAGAGAATGTCTAGCTCATACCAAAAAAATGCTACTAATCTGAAATTTATGGACAGTGATTACCTATGGGAGGACCGAGGAAGGGGGAGTTAGTTGGGGAAAAAACACAGATGTTTGTAACAATCTATTTCTTAAGCTAGAGGTTGAGAACACATTATGAAACTATATGAAACATACATCTTTTATGCAAGAAATATTTAATAATTTTTAGAAAGTGTCCACACTGTTGTGAAAGTGAGTGACAGAATGAACGAAGATGCTTTGCAAAGAATCAAAGCAGGAAAGCAGACACGGGGCACTGCTTCTCCAGGCGGAGCAGGCTTGGGCTGGAAGACAGACCCAGCCTTTTAGGTGGTTTTGTTTCCAGGCAAGGGGGGCAAGAAGTTCAGGGGCTATTTACATGGCAGCACCACGAAAGGAGCTGAGTGAGCTTCCCGAGAAGCCTGTCAGGTGAGCGCTCTGCCTCACGCTCTGCAAGTCTGAGTCACCTGCTCAGGCTCTGGATGATGGTGACACAACCGTGGGAGCTGGTGCAGCGCTGCAGGGACAGCTGGGCCTCCACCAGCCCACTGCTGGGGTCCAAGGTGAAGACTCCGTCAGTGCTTTCCCCGTGCTCATCCCGCCCGCCAAGGATGTGGACCTTCCCGTCACACACAGTCACGCCACAGCTCTCCTGGGTGGACAAAGAGAAAGACAGTCAGCCATGTAGCTTAGCCTGTGGCTCTGTCCATACCTGGCTGGCCAGGTCAGACAGTAAAATCTTGACCCACAGAAAATGAGCAGGCAGCTGGGATGGCAGAGAGGCTGGGATGGGATGGACCGGAGTTCAAGCTCTGACTGCAACCTCACTGAGTGACCTCAGGTAAGTCACTCAACCTCTCTGGGCCCTTCCTTTTATTTTCTGCCAACTGAGAATAATATTACCTTCTTCATAAGCTCCTCTTAAAAGCTAGGGGGTTACGCATGTGACGCATTTGACGTGGTGCCTGGAATGCAGTGACAATAATTTCCACCACCACCACCTTAAGGTCTCAGGCTCAGAGGAGCCAGAAATCTCAGGCTCTTAGGATCACTGACGCTTAAAACCGGCAAGGCCCACGAGGGCAGCCACACCCCGTGTAGTCTCTGGAGTTTCAGGAATGGGGACAAAAGGAGGGAGAGGCAAGGGCCAGAATCTCCCTTCTCTGAGATCTCTGGGGCAGGGGAACTTCCCCTCTGTGCCCCCACCCTCCACCACAGGCTACCTTCTGCTGGTCTTCAGGGCAGGAGCAAGAGCAGCCCACACCCCGCCCCCCAGGCTACGGCACTTGGGACTAGGCACCTGGCCCTGCCTTACATGGCTTAACTGGTGGCCCCGGGCTGAGCTGCAGCCTCTCTACGGCCATCGCCCTCAGCTGTGAAAGGAAAAGCTGACGATCACTGTGAGAACAAAACTAGAGAATGTTGTAAAAGTGCCTCGTGGGGAGTCAGTCCGAAGTGACTCACTGCCTCCAAGAACCAGATCCTCACAAGCAGGCTTTCCCTCTCACCAGAACTAGTGCCTGGAAGCGTGATCAGGACCCTCTACTTACCACAGGGCTCGGCAGGACAGCCACCTCCCCCCAGACATCTGTGCCAGGCTTGTAGGTAAAGATTTTGCTCATGAGGCCCCCCATCACGTAGATGGTGTCCTCGATGGAGACCGCCTCAAGACACCGCTGCGAGAAGGGTGCTGGTGAGCGCAGGCTCCACTGGTCCTTCCTGGGGTCAAAGCACTGCACCTGAGGGGGGCGGAGGAACGGCACTGAAGCGCCACCCCACACTGCCCTGCCGTCCACTCCTGCCTCTGCAGTGTGGTTACAGGGACTCACTCAACCTAGCATTTGCCCGTGCCCTGCAGTTAGTGTTTGGGGTGTGCAGAAGACCCACCGTCCCTGTCCTCAAGGGTGCGCACTTGAGTTCCAATTCTAGCTCCTGCTCCTGGAAAGATGGCCCCCTCATCTTTCAGGCCAGGGAGGATCTGCACATCAGGAGGTGGAGGTCCTCTATATCTGCCACAGAGGGTCCTCAGAGCAGGTGCCAGGGAGATGCCGTCCTGGCTGCAGACACTGTCAACCCTCTTCCCTCTTCCCGGTGCTCTGAGGTCATGACAAGATGGCAGCTGCGGAACCTTGCAGCCCCCTCTCCTACTGCTGTCTGCAGGCCCCCAGGTCTACGGTGCTTGGCGACCACAGGGCCGGGCCCCCAGCCAACTCCTCAGGGAAGGGGTCAGGGAATAGGAGGGGTGAGGGGATCCTAGTGGGGAAAAGATTCTGGTCCCAGGACCACAGGCCTGCCAGGCCGTGAGGGGAGGGTGGGGGCGGCCATGATGAGGATGAGTTTTTGTAAGCCTAATGTGTCCACCCAAATTAAGTTAGTAAACTAGGGCTCACCCGCCCGTGGACTATTACACAGACACTGAAATGATGGTGCACAGTGCTTATACTTAGAAGAGAGAATAAAAAGAAAGCAAACTTTACTGACACTGCGAACACAAAACTAAAATAAAAGCAGGTCAATTCAGAGGAAGCCTGCAAGGCACTGCACCAAAATAGAAAATAACAGTTATCCTGAAAGTGAGATTATGGTTTTTTTTGTTTGTTTGTTTCTATTTCTCTGTCTTCTAAATTTTCAATAATTTTTTTGAATGGACGAAAAACATTTTAAATAATACCACGCTTGCCCTTAATTTTTAAAGTCTATAAAACCCACATGCCACCAGCCCAAACATCTGGGTCCAGCTGTGCTGATGACCTGCCGTGTGACCTTGGGCTCACCTCCTTGAATTCATCCCTCGCCTGAAACCTGGGGTGACTCCTCGGGCTGTTGATGGGATCAAGCAGGAAACTCCAAGGCATGCAAGCTCCGGGCCCGCCCCTAACGCACAGCAAACCTCCCTGCCCACCTTGTCGGTGCTGACGCCGTCCTGCCGGGCGCCCCCGATCACGTAGAGCCGGCCCGCGCAGGGCACCACCGCGGCGGAGCTCACGGCCTCGGGGAGGGGCGCCGCGGCCGCCCACGTGTTGGAGAAGGGGTCGTAGCGCTCCACGCTGCGCAGGCGCCGCAGGCCGTCGAAGCCGCCCACCGCGAACAGCTGCCGAGAGGTCAGGGGGCGCCGGGAGTCAGGGCTTTCGGGGTCTCTGCCCCACCGCCCCGCTGTGTGCGGGAAACTGTCCCACGCCAGAGCAGGGACCCGGCCAGGGCCCACCCCCACCTGTCACCAGCTGTCACTGGCCCTCCCTTAGCAGTTTTCCCTATGAACCCCGGTAAGAAGATGGGGGGGCCCTGCATGCTGTTAGGGCTGTGAAATACCCTCCGAGCTGAAGGATATTGACCACAGCTGGTGATTCAGGGTGCACCACCTCACGTGATTCTAAAAAGCACTTTTATTTGCATTTCTGAAACTGGGATGTGAAACTTACAAAGAGCTTACAAAGAAGCTTGACATTTTGGGGTGGGGGTCTCAAACCTAGGCTTTTTGGCCCCAGAGCTCAGACCCTTCACCACTAGGCTGTACTGTACAGTAATTACTTCCTACTAGCATTATGATGTGACCTTGGGCAAATCCCTTCCCTTTTGGGGGCCCCAGATTCCTTCTTAGAGAAGGTCTTAGAGGGCCTTCCTCCTGGATGTCTGTAGAGCTGTACCTGGGCCCCTGTGCTGTACCAGGGCAGTAGCTGTTGCGGTCCCTACCTGCCCCTGCACCACCGCCATCTTGTGCCTCCACCTGCCCTTGTGCAGCGAGGCCACCTTGATCCAGGTGTGCAGATGGGAGCTAAACATCCACACATCACGGCTATTGATGTGGCCTCCTAGAGAGAGAGAAGCAGCAGTTGCCCCCAGGTCCTGTTGCTATCCCCTGGACCCATCCCAGCCCCCCAAGAACTAGAAACAAAGGTCTGAGATGCAAAGGAAGGGTTAAGGGACATCCTCCCGAGCTGGTCTGGGACTCCAGGCCTATTCCCGTGTACTCTGAAGGAGTGTTGTGAAGGTCTGAGTTAGGACAACAAGCAGGGAGTCTTGAGGGAAGAGTCCTGAGAGACTTTGGGAGGAGCTGATCTTCACTGTGTGGGTGACTTGCCTTGTGGGATGACAGGCTATGTGCTTAAGGAAGCAAGGTGGGCCACTTAGAACTCTACTGAAGGCAAGTGCAAAGGGCACTCCTCATGACCAGCATGGGGAATACACTGGGGATGGAGGGAAAACACAGCCACTTACACTGGGACCTGGAGGGGTAGAGGGTGACCCAATAATCCTGCCTCACTTCTGCTGTCACCGTCATGATTTCATGTCCTCATCCCTCTATGAAGTGTTGGGATTTTTGTATCCAATTTATAGACAGGAAACTCCAAATAAGTCAGAGAGCAGAAATGACCTGCTGCAGCCCACAAGGCCTTTCACTGCCAAAGCCATGACCAAATAGAGCTTCTAGTGCCCAAGATCAGCACTGGTACATGCTATGGGAGGGGGTAGGAGGTGGTCCATGCTCTCCCTGCCCATGCCTGATGCCCTAGGACTCCCGAGGGAGTCACCTCTCAGATGCAGGGACTGTGTCCCTCAGCCTGAGCCCCTGACCTAAGCCACATCTGTGTTCCCACAGGCACGTAGCAGAGGCCCCACATGTTGCTCAGACGTCAGCAGTGACCTTGGATAAGTTGTCCAGCACTAAAGTGTGGCCTAGATGGTCTCTGAGGCTTTCCTGGCTCATTCCCCAAGCACTCAAAGCTCTCTACAACATCAAGTGCAGTCTACCGAGGCCTCCTCCTTTTCCTGCCTCATCTACAATAGCTTCCTCTCCTTTCCTGGACACACTCAACCTGCACTTTGGAGTTCTGAGGGTCCTTTTCTGAACATCCCTGCCTTTGTACCTTTGCTTATGTGATCCCCTCCAATTTTCAAGGCCTAGCTAAAAAGCTATTCCTTCCATGAAGCTAGGCCAGATTTCCTGAGTGGCATTTCCTGGAGACTCTAAGAACTCCCATCATATTCTGTCTGGTGATCAAGTCAAGTCTTTCTGTATCTCCCTCTCCAGGGTACTCCAGAGGAGCAAGGACTATTTTATTCTCTGAGTCTCTGGGGACTAAGTTTCAAGGAGGACACAATCTATTCGTATCAAACAAATCTGTGTCTCACCTAATACTGTCATTTTTTAAACAGCCGAGAAATTCTTAATGTCTCTGAGCTGGTTTTCTCATCTATGAAATGGAGTTTTAGGGACGATTAAATGATAGCTAGGCTGCTTAGCATAATGGCCAGCACACAGTACATAAATAGAAGTGACTCATACTGTATGAACGGAAGCTGACGTTGCTTAATAAAAAGCAGTCACACCAGTGTTTGGCTCTGCAGGACTACGTGCCACTGCGGCCAATAACTATAGGTTAGAAGGGAAAAACCCCACTCCATGGCCAGGTGCGAGGGAACAACAAAAGGGGTGGGCACAAGGGAGGCAACCAGCTAGTTCTGCAGGGCTTCCCCACTTCAGCGAGCCCTCACCGGACACGTAGATATCATTGCGGAGAGCACAGGCGGCGAACTCGGAGCGTGTGTAGCCAGGCAGGCTGGGCAGCGGCGTCCAGCGCTGGCTCTCTGGGTGGTAGGCGTCGGCAAAGGGTAGCTTCAGAAGCCCCTTACGGTCGCAACCACCGATGACCACGATCACTTCAGCTAGGTCCATGAATCTGGCGTGAGGACAAGCCCGATGCGCGTTTACCCACACCCCACGTTGCGGCCCACCCACCCTCAGGGTGACCACATTGTCCGGTCCTGCTGCACTTCCACCTGTCTGGATACGAAGGTCACTAAACCTTACCCCACTCCACCGCCCTCGAAGTCACAGGAAAGCAATCTTTACAGAGCCCTGACCCTTGCATAGCAAAATCACCTCATTTAATACTTAAAGACAGTTCTATTAGGGCTTATACCTCCTTTCGCAGAGGCCGAAATGAAGGCTTCCAGGCCTTGGCACATCAGAGCCGCCGTCCAAGCCGACTTAGCCTGATGTTAACTCATTCTCTTCACCGCCCTTTTCTGACCTTTCCGCTGCCTCATTCCCCTGCCCACGTCCTCCTGTAACCACCTCCTACCCCCTCCTCTAGTCACTAATTCCACTGAACCAGGCTGCACTCCCTGACACCAAAGCAGCCTCCTCTCCTGCTGGTTTCTGACCTCACTAGAATTTCCAAGCCGTTTAGCCACTGGTTACCTAATTCCTTTGACAAAAATTGTACCAGGTCCAGTACCTAGTACTGGAGGCATCAGTGGTGAGACAGAGGCACCCTGTCTCCTACCCCTGGGCAGGTAAAACCTTCGCCTGCTCCATCTCAAGTCTCCCGTGCTGGTGTCCAGGTATGGGGACGTGGAGGTAGTGCCCCAGGCACTGTCTATTCCTCTCTCCCTCCCCCCCGGGCACTGTCTATTCATACCCCTTACTAGTTTGCGCTCCCGGCGGGTTAAGGGTATTCCCAAACCACAGAGCGTTCCAGGCACCCACGACAAGACCTGTGCACCCTCAGAACCACGGGTGGGTGGCTAAGAGCAACAGTGTGCACCCTGATCCCTGCTTCTCCCGCGTGGGACTGTCAACTCCTCGCGGGCAGACCCCCAGCACCAAGCCTATTACAGAAGTTCCGCGGGACCGACTGGAGCTCCCTGGAGAGGCACGACGAAAGCACGGAATCGCAAGATGCTGGAGGGCTGTGCGAGGGGCAGGGGAGCGCGCGCCTCCCGGAGCGCAGGGGCGGCCCAGGGCGTACCTCCGCGGCCGGGTCCGCAGGGCCCCGGCTTCGCGGCCCAGGATGAAGCAGGCGCGCGCCTCCAGCAGCAGCGGGCGGCACTCGCCGCAGGCCTGCAGCAGCTCGTCGGCCTCCACCTTCTGCAGGAAGTAGGCGGGCGCCAGCAGGGGCAGGCGCACGTGCTCCAGCAGGCGGCGCAGCTGCCCGCGGCGGGCGGGCGCGTCGTGGCGCACCCAGCGCATGGCCGCCTCGAACACGGCCTCCTCGCGCGCCACGCCCAGCGCCGGGTCGGCCAGCAGCGCCGCCAGCTCGTCGGGCGCCAGCTCCAAGAAGTCGGCGTGGCGCGCCACCTCGGCAAAGGCCTGGCGCAGCACGCGGCCGCAGCGCTCGGCCAGCGGGGCCAGCGAGAAGGCGGCGGCCACGCGGCGCAGCGCCAGGCTGTTGGCGGCGCGCAGGCGGCCCTCGAGGAAGCGCGCGCAGGCCTCGCGCAGGCCCGCCACGCCCAGCCGCTCGGCCAGCGCCAGCACCGCGGCCGCCTCGTCCTCCGCGCGCAGCTGCACGCCCGCGCCGTACACGTAGTCGAGCACCACGGCCAGCGCCGCCGCGGGGGCCTCGGGCGCCACGGGCACCACCGCCAGCCCGCGCTCCGGCCGGCCCGCCGCGAACAGGCTGCAGAAGTAGGCGCTGCCCGCGCTGAGCGCAGCGCGGTGGCACGGGAAGTCGCGGCCCCCGGCGCGCAGCACCACGTCGGTGAGGGTGCCGCTCCGGCGGTAGGCGTTGAGCGTCTGCAGGACTCGCTGCGCGTGGCAGGAACCCGCGCACGGCGCCTCAGAGCCCGGCTCCGTCTTCTCTGGCACGGGGCCCTCCAGCATCCTGCCGGGGAGGGAACACAGAGTGGGGACATCCGCCTGCCTGGGGCCGAGTTAGAGGCCAGGAGGCCCCTCAGTCGTTCAAGCGTTCCGCCATTCACGAGTGTGCGCAGGCGTGTGCGTGCTCATTCAGCTCTCCTTCCACCCATCCATCCATCCACCCATCCACTCATCCATCCATCCTTCCATCCATCCTTCCATCCATCCTTCCATCCATCCATCCCTCCATCCCTCCATCCATCCATCCATCCACCCATCCACCCATCCATCCATCCACCCATCCACCCATCCACCCACCCACCCATTCACCCATCCACCCATCCATCCATCCATCCATCCACCCATCCATCCATCCATCCACCCATCCATCCATCCATCCACCCATCCATCCATCCACTCATCCATCCATCCACCCACCCATCCATCCATCCTTCCATCCATCCACCCATCCATCCACCCATCCACTCATCCATCCATCCTTCCATCCATCCATCCATCCATCCATCCATCCATCCATCCATCCATCCACCCATCCATCCATCCACCCATCCACCCATCCATCCATCCACCCACCCACCCATTCACCCATCCACCCATCCATCCATCCACCCATCCACTCATCCATCCATCCTTCCATCCATCCTTCCATCCACTCATCCATCCATCCTTCCATCCATCCATCCACCCATCCATCCATCCACCCACCCAGATGCCTAATTGGCTACAGGAATCTAGTCCCTGCTTATCTAAAGGGCGAGGCCCTGCCTTGTTGTACCACCTTCACTCTTGCTTACCCACTTCAGCTGCCCTTTCTGTTCCTCAAACCTGCTAACTGTTTTCCTGTCTCTATTGGCAGGAGACAGATGGCAACCTCGGAAAAAGAAAGTGTATCTGAGGTTGCAAGTGGCAGCTGTCTCACTACAGATAGTGTCTGCAGTATCAGAAGGCCCAAACAAAGGCCATTTGTCCCAGGAGGGGCTGTCTCATCAATGAGGGCCTGGACATGGACATGGTGGCACATGTGCCACATGGTGGCACATGGCACCTGGACATGGTGGCACACGCAAGCAGTAGACCAGGACCCAACACACAGTGGCTGCTGGGGGTGCTCACAGATGGGGCTGCTGAGGTGACACCGCAGCAACCCACATGTCTGAAGGGGCATGGGGGTCTGACCAGACAGCAGTGGAGACAACAGCACCGGGATGCAGTGCAGGACAATTGAAAGCGGTGCACAGCTCTCAAAGGTGCCCGGACTACCAGTGGGCCTCTGAGAAGCCATCCTGCAGCTTCCCACTGCAGGACAGCCTGGGTGCTGCCCAGAGGCAGCACATCTGTGCAGAGGGCAGGAAAATCCCCAGTTCTAGTGGCTCCAGTGCTCAAACCTGGCTAGCCCCAAAGAAGGAGCTGTCCTTAGGAAGCAGGAAAGAAAAATTCCTGCTACTGTCACCGCTTTTCATAGCTGCGTGCACTGGCCTCCACCTGCACATGATGGAGCAGCAGGATGGGAAACCTCCGCTGCCACTCAGCTTCCAGGCACCTGCAGCTGCTGCAAAGCTGGTCATGCCCAGCCCCGAGGCTTGTGCCCTGGGGGATCTGGTTTCCATGGCAGCCTCTTAGCTGGGACTAATTTGAGGAAAGTCAACTAAAGGAACAATTTACAAAAGTGTAGACAAATTTGTGGTTCCAACAAGGACTAGAGCAGTGTCACCTGGCTACCTACAGCAGGGAGACAGGAACCCGCAAGGTCTGAGGGGGAAGGGCTGGGAAGTTACTTGAATTTTCACAATCTGTGTAGCTTTTGGCCAGGAATTCAGGCCTATCCCACAGACTCAGTGTGTGAGGTGAGTGTAACCCTCCCTCCCTCTCCTCACCCCATCCTGTCTCCTGCCCATCTTCTGTAGGTGCTCCCCATTGACCAAAACCGAGTAAATCCATCATAATCTGCTCTTCCCCCAGCAACACTGGATCCGGCCCATAGTAGGTGCTCAGTTAATCCCTGTTCAAAGTCGAGTGCTCTAGTATAAGAGGTATGTATCGAGAGCTTTTTCTGTGCCAGAGAGTGAGGCAGCATAGTCTCTGCTTTCCTGGAGATTGCAGCTTGCAGGGGTCTCGTGGGGAAATGCAGTGCTAGGGGAGTTCATAGAAAGGACAATCAGGGAAGGTGATCCTGAAGAGGGGACTTTCAGACTGAGACGGATGGGTAGAATTGGCCAGGGGAAGGGAAGGAGTAGAGGAAGGGTTTCTCCATCCTGTGCAAAGGCCCTGCAGGAAGGTGAGCCTGAGGTGAGCGCCCAGGCAAGAAGTTGGCCCTTTCTCTAGAGCGCTAGAGTTCTCAAGGACGCACTAGGGGGCAGCAGCGAGCACGGCTCTGGGATCAGCCTCAAGTCCTCATCCTGTCCCTCCACCCCACTTGCTGCTCACTTGCCCTAGCCACTCCCTTCAGTTTCCTCATCTGGAATGGGATGGCAGTGCCCGCTTCCCAAGGTTGTGACTTTGTGATTATTAAATGGAATGTGGAAAAGTGCTCGGGACATAGCTCAAACTCAGTGTTTCCTTACATGTTTTCACTCAAGAAAATGGAATGTGCCAAATGTGCTAGATGCTTCTAAGGACCTAGAAGCATCATTTGACCCTCGCAACCCTGAGAAGTTTCTTTAGGTCCTCCCCCTTTTTAAAATTTGTTATGGGCTACCTGGTGGTACAAGGGGTTAAGCACCGCACTATGAAGCAATCTGCAGCCTCTGCAGCACAAGTTCCATCCCCAGCCTGCCAGGGAGCAACCCACATGGTGCAGCAGACCTCTCCTGTCTCACCTGCTGCTCCCCTCAGCAGTGTGTTTCAGTCAGTCTGCCAGTTCTGTTCCCCGCTGTCTCTGCTGAATCCTCTCACCCCCCGCATCTCTGGCCTGTACCCCAGCTCTTGTATGCATAAATAAATCCTTAAAAAATAATAAAATAAAATTTGTTATGAGGAAACTGCCTTCCTCTGTGACGATCAAAAGAGGTGTCTATGAAAGCACTGCAGACACAGACCCTCCTGTGCTGGTTTTCATGAGCCTTTGTGAACTAACAGGTCTCTGCTTGCATACCTCCAGCCACAGGGCGCTCACTCCCTTATGTGGCAGCTTACTCTTGGGAAGCCCAGCTCTGCCCCTGCCTGTGCCTCCATTCTCCTGACCCCAGCTGCTCTGCCTCCTCGGAGATCCCTGTGCCCTGGATGTTGCCCAGTATTAGCTCCTGTCTGTCATCCGGGTGGTGGATCCCCTGTCTCAGCCTCACAGGATATGAGCAACCTGATAGACAGGGTCCCCGCAAGTTAACGACTTTGCCCAAGTAAAGGGACCCATTTGGCTGCAGGCTCTGCAAGCCTATGTGTCCAGCCACAGTGTTTTTGAAGAGGGGTGAGGGGGCAAGGAGCAGCCCAGGACCAGCAGGGGGGTTGAGAGAAGTCATTGAGTCATCCTCATCTAGTCTTGGTCAGCTGGGGGAGCAACTGCACGCTAAACTGAGATCCTAGACAGCAGATCTTGGAAGGCCGGGCTGCTCCTTGCAGAAAAGTCTGAGGCCCAGGGGACCATCTCGGGGTATGAAGGGGTGGGGAGGGGAGGGGGGAATCCCCTCCTGGGAAGCAGCCAGTACTTTTTCATCCTTCCCGCTGCTGTATGCTGCGCCGCTCTGTGGACACACTGGAACCCCCAGACGGGGCCGCAGGACACCAAACATGGAAATGAGGATTCCCAGCTGGACGTGAGCTGTCGACACTCTCCCGCCCAGCTAAGAGCCCAGGCACGTCAAATCAGGGGTCCTGACGCAGACTGGTGGGCCCAGCCCTGGGAAGCTGATGTGCCACCATCCCTGCCTCTTTTTCAGCCCACACCCACTCACACAAACACACTCAGACTGGCAGACACCACACTGTCCAGGCAGCCCTGAGTCTTAGTCCTGCCCCGCATGTACCTGGCACTTACCTGGCGTCGCCCTCTCCCTGGCGCGCTGCTGCAGCCGCTCTTGCCAACCGCTGGACCACCGCTGTCCGTCCTGCCGCCCGCACCCCTGGCAGCCTGGGCTCTAAAGTCCCCGCCGGTCTGCCCAGAATCCTGCTCTGGCTCAACTGCAGGAGGACAAAGGGGCTGGACGCCAGGGGGAGGGGAGGGAGCGCTGAGGGGGAGGGGAGGAGGGGATGCTGGGCTTTTGTTCCACTCTTGGACCAGCCCCAGAGGGAGCAGGAACGAGGGGAAAGGCGGAATAAGTATGGGGTTGACCGTGTGCCTGGATTGGGGGTGACCTGGTGCTGCCTGTGCCCCTGGAAGATGCCCAGGTGTGAAGGTGTGTGTGTGTAAGCGCCTGCCCCAGGGATGGGGTGTAATTGGGTGGCTGTGCATGGGCCAGGGTTGCCGGGGACCTGTGTGGGGGCACGTGGGGCACAGTGACCCTGGGGTGGCTGGGTGACCATGCGGCTCCAGGTGTGCACGGCTTAGAGGGCCAGGACTCGCTGCTGCTGCTTGTGCCATTTTTCTGCTTGACAGTGACATGTCACTGCGGCACGTCATGTGTCTGCTTATGTGTCTCGTGTCCCTGCCTCTCTCTGTCTGTGAGTGTTCACTTCTGTGTGACGGGGTCCGGTGGTGTGTCTGTGTGTGTGTGTGTGTGTATAGTGTTCTGTCAGGTGTCTGGTATGGAGTCAAGATGGTTTTCACTCAGTGCCACACAACGCACAGCCTTGGAGCAAGGTGTGGGGGTTTGAGGGAGCCCTGGTTGGGATGGGCGAGCAACAAGGCAGGGTTCTGGGCTGTCCTGTCTTCTGAAGTCAGAGGGAGGCACCTCCTCAGGCTGGTGGTGCTGGATCCTCTGCTGCCTCTGAAAGGGCTATAGGGCCTGGAGTCTGTGGAGCAGGTGAGGGGCTCTGCCTTCATGGAACAGGGCAGGGCAGCAACTTGGGGAGACACTCACTGCCTTGATAAGAGGCTGGATGGACCCTGGCTCCCATCTCCAGGGAGGGATAATCAGGATTCCTGCTCTGCCAGAATTGTTGGCTGCAGAGGGCCTGCATGGCAGCCTGGGCCATGGGGCGTCTCCCTCACTGATGCTTGGGGCTAGAGAGCCAGGCTGGCAGGCCAGGTGGAAGCGGCTGTGCTGGGAGGGAGCAGGATGTGGCCAAGTAGGTGTCTTGAGGCCTGAGGGAGTCTGTTCTGTATCTCTGCCCCCTCCCTGGATAGGATAGTGTGTGTTGCTGTGCCAAAGGATGTCAGCTCTCAGGAACTTTGGTGTGTGTACGTGGAAGGCGGGGCTGTGGATCCAGGGAGGGTCTGGAGGTAGTAGAGGGTGGGCTTGCCTGATGGAGTGAGGAAGGGGTGGCTCTGCAGGCGGTTGCAGGAAGCTGAAGGGCCTGGCCTCCTTTTGCCTATGAATGTGCTGTCAGGCTATTGGGGGAAGGCCATATAGGGAGGGCATCAGGAAGGTGGGGTTCTCAGTAACCCCAGGTGAAGGGACAACAAACAGGGTTGATCACAGCTTAGCTGAGGATGGAGACAACCCCGGCCATCTGCCCAGTTGGGGGGTGGCACTATCCTTACTATGTTGTTTGAGGGGAGGCAGTGGGGCTGGCCCTGCATTGGGGAGGGGGGAGGGTTACAGTGTTGGACTCTGGTGAGTGGGATCCCGACCGGCTGTCCACTGAGAACTCTCACACCCCTTCCTGAAGACTCCAGGAGGTCTCAAGTTGCCCACAATGGCTGAGACCCCCCATGAGGACTGCCTGGACAGGAAGGGGCTGGCAAGGAAGGTCAAGTCCACTTTTCTTGGTGCACCTGCCAGAGGCTAGAGAGGAAGCTTTTGGGGCACCTGGGCTAAGACAATGTGCTTCATGCCTGTCCCAGCCATTTCAGGTTTCTCATACTCCTTCATGCCCAGGGAGAGGCGGGGCGACCTCTGCCCCAGGAGGCGGGGGGCACTTGCCACACGTTCAGTGGGGTTAGAGGAGAAGGGTGAGTGTCCTTATGAATCCCTGAGGGGCAGTCCTAGAGATTAATATGGGGAGCCTCTGTCTGGGGGGAGATTTCCTTTCCTTCAAGGTGCCAGATCCTAAGAATTCTACTCAGAAGACTGTTTTGGAGAAGGGCCACATCCTTGGCTCCCAGAAAGTACCATATTTATTTACTGCAGGCTAGAGGTGGGATTTAGCCTCCCCCTCACCCCTTAGGACATACCCAAGACCACACAACACAGACTCTTAGGACAAGTATGGGAGTTACAGGCCTGGCCTGTCTCCGGGGCTCTGTTTTAGCTGTTGGCCCAGGTGCTGCACTGTGCTAGGAATGTACCTCCTGTCAGGTCCAGTGTCTGAGAAGTCACTCAGATCCCTGCCACGGGGGAGAGGCATCCTGCGGAGGGAGCTCACAAAACCTCCACGTCTGTGTGAGGACCTGTTCGTCCCTACATGGACCTGTCTTCCCCATCTGCCACACCGACCCCAGGTAACAGAAGGAGCATATATGTTCCGGACCAGAGCATGGTTCTGCCTCTGCCTGCTCTAAGCTGCGTGGCCTCGGCTGTCCTCTACCTCTCCCGGACAGTCTATGCCTCCACAACGTGGGAAGAGTGGTCCCCGCCCCTGGGGCTGTTAAGGAACTCCAGGCACCCATGGTGATTTAGGGTGGGACTCAGCCACCCTCCCTGCCACCTTCCATTCGTTTCTGAGGATGGTTTCTTAAAGCGGTCTGGGTTTATCTCGAAGCAGAATCCCAATGCAGCAAGCTGTCCCCAACCTCCCACTGACAATTCAGGGATGACACAGGTCAAGATGGCAGCTTTAATCACTTTGATCAAGGCCCGTCAGGCTCCCTCCACATGCCCACCCTTGACCAGCCAGAACACTTCTCCCAGGTGGTGCCAACCCCATGCCCACTGCCCTGTGGCCACCGTCATGGGAACCTGAGGTTGTGTCAGTCTGTGAATTGGCAGGCTTCTGGGCCACTCTGCCCTAGAGCCCTGCTGGACACTTGGGCATGAGACGGGGCAGCCCTGAGTTGCTCCCAGGGGACATGGCTCAGGCTCTCTCCTGGGGCAGGGGCCAGCAGCAGTGAGAGGCTGGTTGGGGAGGAGTGTCCCCACCACCGAGGCGGCTTCCCTCCTGGGCCAGAGCTCCTTGTGCTTTGAGACTGACGTGAAGAGCAGGGTTTCTGGGGGCAGAGACCCAGCCCAGACCCTGGAGGCTGGATAAAAATGGAGAAGCCAGTTGCCTCACAGCATGGACAGGAAGACAGACACAGGAGGGCGTCCACACCTCCACTGCCACAGGGGCCGGTGGGGCCCAGTGACCCATCACAGCTTCCAGGTCAGTGTGGGAGAGCCTGGCCCCGGCTATACTTCTCAGAAGGAGTCCCAGGCCTGCAGGGGCATCTGAGGGACTGGAGTCCTGGCCCAGCTGGGCGTTGGGGCGGAGAGCCTCTTCAAGAGAGGCCACGGCTGACAAGGGGCTGGAGCCCGTGAGGAGGCCGTGGAGCCAACTCCCAGAGCACTCCGAGTCCAGGCACTTCTGCCAGCTCTCCTGGGTTCCCAGTTTCCATGTCAGGTACAGACAGACACATCTTCAGCTAAGGCCCACTTCGATCTGTGAGGGTCTTGGCACCACTCCTTCGGGGGCCCATGGCGGCGGTGGTGCTATTGGCGTACATGTCGTAACTGTTGTCTGAACATGCGGAGAGCTCATCAGAGACCTCCATGCCATCGCTGATCTCTGTTGGGCCAGAGGAGGCAGATGTGAGCGGGGAAGGTGGCCTGCAACCACTCTCAGGCAGGCACTGGAGCCTTTGAGACCTCTGGGTGTGGGTTTGGTATTGAGCTTGGCAGTCAAGATCCCCCTTTGTTTCTGCTGAACCCTCTGGCCTCACGCTAGGCTCCTTACCCCTTGCACGCTGCCTTTTGGCTACAGAAAATTATCTGTACCTTCTTGAGCCTGGCGCCTTGTGTTTGCTTCTCCCAGGTCTTTGACATTTTGGCGCGTCTCCTGAGAGGGACCTCTTCATGCACAACTTTCTTAAACCCCAGCTCAACTCTTCTCATCTTATCCCAGCTCCTGAGAGCCTCCCCTAAGCCTCCTCCTGCTTCCCTCTGACCTGCCCCCTCTCATGCTGTTCTGTCACTGTGGCCCTCCCCAGCTGGAGCATCTTGAGGATGGGGGGTGGGCTGGGAGGACAGGGAGGCTAGGTGTCCGTGTCCCTAGTGCCTGGCACAGCACAGGACACACAGCAGAGCTCAGAGACGGTCTGCTGCATCAGGGTGCCTGGCTGGGAGCCCCTGCAGTGGACCTCTCAACCTGGATTGGGCAGCTGGCTCAGTGAATGACCTTCAGCACTCCAGGACGGGCAGGCACCTGACGGGCATGACCTGCCAGGCCTAGAGGCTGGTCTTCTGCCTTCTAGCATAAAAACCCACCCCTTCTGGGCCAGGCACAGTGCAGGGTCTGGGGACCAGGGATGCCTTGGGCTGGCGACCTCTCCCAGGAGCTGTCCAGTGTGGCCCGAGGACCAGGGAAACTTCTCCAGTCCACCCGTGGTGTGCAGGTGAGAAGGGACTTTTGAGTGAGGGCAAAAGGGATGTCAGAACTCCACAGGCAAGAAGCTGTGTCCTGAGCATCTAAAACAGCACCTGGCATTCACCGTTGAATGAATGAGTAAAGGAGTCAGTGAGTGAGTGGTGATTACATTATCCTTGGAGCCAGCCCCCCTAAAACTGTAATTATCCCCAGTGGGCCTGGTTCATTCGGGCAGTGCTTAGTAGGCACCCCTCTGGGCAAAGCTGACCCTCACAAGTGCCTGTGAGGAGGAGCCAGACCATTTTACAGATGAGGCTGACACTGAATAAGGTCAGGTGATGTCTCCCTTTGCCCAGCTAGTTGGAGTAGAGCTGGGATTTGAACCCAGGTACCTCTGGTTCCTAAATACTCTCAAATCTCTCCTTTCTGTGCCTTACCCACATCTATTGCCTGAATTATTGGTTTCTTGCCTCCAGCTTCCCCCTCCAATCTACCCTCCACATTATGGATTGAATTATTTCCCCCCCCCAATTCTTATATTTAAGTCCTACATAATCCTCCGTCAGACTGAGGCTCGAGGAAACGCAGTCACTGCTGATGCAGCTGGTTCAGATGAGCTCACTAAGTGGTGAGCCCTGACCTAACATGACGGGTGTCCTCACAAAGGGGAAGTTAGGGTATGCACATGCATGCTGGGAGAGTGCCATGTGGACACATGGTGGCCACCTACAAGCCAAGGGGAGAGGCCTGCACCAGATCCCACCCTCAGCCTTGCCTGCACCTTGGTTTGCACTTCCAGCCTCTAGAAGTGTGAGACTAAACTTCTGTGGCTTAAGCCACCTGTTTTGAGTACTGCGTTACAGTCCTACTGCACGAGTGGCCAAAACCAAACCTACCCACCACCCGCCTCTGCTTTCAGAATGCAGCTCAAGCTCCCGATCACATGCTCAGGGCCCCAGCACCCCTCAGCACCATCTTGGGGTGAGCCAGCCAATGGCTCCTCCCGTCAAGCCCCAGCAAGCAGTGCGCCCTCACAGATGAGCACATGCTGCGCTGCCTGGCGTGCTCCTCCGTCCCTCTGCACGCTAAGCCCTTACCTCAAACCCCCACCGGGCCCCTCCTCCCCATCCTTCCCACGGCAACTGTGTGACCTCCTTGCAAAGCGGGCCCCCAGATCTCCTCACTGCACCAGGGCACTGTGACCACGACCACCTCCTCCTCCCTTATACCCCACTCGGGCTCAGCACCACCACCTGGCAGTGCTCCAGCGACACCCGCTTTCCATGGGTTTGTTTATCCAGCTGCCACCTCCACCAGACTGGGAATATCCGCAGAAGCTGGCACCAAGGAGGGGCGAAATCAAAATCACAACTCGATCTATGTGTGAGCCAGGCCAGGCGGGATAGGCCTTCAGAGCAGACCCCCTTCCCGTAACCCTTACCTTCGCGGCGCCCTTAGCCGCCCCCCACGGGCCTGACACTGTGGACAGGGCCTACGCTGGATGACCACATGGGGCGCGGGGTAGGTTTCTACACGTGGGCCGGGGTTCACACACACCTTCCTGTGAGTGACTGTGCATGCGTGTGGGGGGTGCAGAGAACCGAGGCCACCTCCAGCCTCAGCCTGTCTGCGGGCTGCACACCTGAGAAGATGAGCTTCTCCTTCATGATGCTGACGTCCCGGCTGGTCCGGCGCACGGCGGCGCTCAGCATGATCTGCTCAGGGTTGTAGCTCCGTATGCCACCCAGGCGCCACCTGCAGAGATGGCCCCACGGGCATCAGGTCCTTCCCCACCTTCTCCTGGGAGCAGGGATCCTGCCCACTTCCAGAGCCTCTGACTCTGCTGACTGCACAGACGCCCAGCCGGGCTCTCTTACCTCTGGGATCCTAAATCAGCTCCCCTTGCCCAGGAAGGTGGTTTGGCTTGGTTCTAAGGTGCCCCCAATTTTGCACCTGGCCCTCTTTGGATGAGACAAATGAGGGGGGCTAGTAGCTGGGACTCTGAAACCTACCCACCCATCTCAGGGTGTCCCAACTGATGTTACCCACAGCTCCACCAGCATGACCAGGCTGAGCAAAGCCGGGGGGACCCCAGAGAGGAGGTAAAGGAAAGCAGGAAGGCGAAGGGAGCTGTGAGCATGTGTGCGCTTTGCTCAGAAGTGGTCTCACAGGTTCAGAGGCCAGGGTGTCGTGGTGAGGCTGGCTGCTGCTCTGTTCCAACGGCCCCGGGAGAGTGGGGTTCCCCACTCCCTAGCGGGAGGGTCAGGCCGGCGTGATTACCTCTCTGATGGCTGGGCAGGAGCAAGGCGGGGGTAAAGTGAACTTCGTAGGCTGACAGTGGGACCACACGGGTCCTGCAGGGCCAGGGAGAGTGGACACTGTGCTGTCGTGGCTTCTCTGAACTAGCCCCGAATCTCTGGTCTTGGAATTTAGACAGACCCAGACAGAAGGATTCTGGCCCCCACTCCCACTCCCACCGAGAGAAACAGGGGGCAGCTCAGAAACAAGAACCCAACCCCCCAGGGCAATGAGCCCCACTGGGGTAGGTGGAGGGAGCCCAGACTCCATGAGAAAATCAATGACCTCCAGATGGGGTTAGCGCAGCAGAGATGGACCGATGGCCAGACAGAAGGGTAGATGAACAGAGGAGACGGACTAGGGAAAGCAGAAAGCAGAGGGAAGGCAGCCTGTGCTCTGGCTGGGCTGGCCGCCCTACATGTCCTTGAGGATGTTGATATGGTGTCATATTTACTGCTGTGTCCTCAGCACCAACCTCAGTGCCTGCTGTGCAGGTACCCACATTTGAGTGAATGAATGGAAGGACGAGGCCCACAGGGAAATGCTCCCCAGGGTCTGCTCCTCCATCAGGCCTCTCCTGACTCCAGGGAGACAGCGACGATGCCTCCTGGCTGTGTTGAGCGGGCTCACCCTCTCTGTAGCAGCACCTGGGCCTTCCTAAGGCCTCCGCGGCATCCTGGCTCTGTGCGTGAAGACCTGCCTCCTGTGCAGGCAGCACGCGTGGGTACCTGTCTTTCTACTGGGCTCAGCAACACAGTCAGAGAACACACAGTTTCCCTAGAAGCTGATCAGGGAAGCTGCTTGATCCGCAGGGCTAAAGGCACTGGACCACCGGGAGCTCCATCCTTAAAACCTAGATCTCATCTTGGAAATTAACCTTAAACCTACAAGGAAAGTGTGGGCCAGGGTCTCCGCAGCCAAGCACATCCAGGACAGGAAGCTCAACCACTGTGGGGGCCTCCCCAGGAGAAAGCAGGGGAGGCTGTGAGTATGGAGCAGGGGCAAGGCGGGAGTCAAGGACAGAAAATGAGAAAGACTGAGAAAGGTAAACCATGAGTGATGGGAGAGGCAAAGGTGGGGGTTCTCCTGGCAGGCCCCCAATCTAGCGGAGGGGCCTTAGTGCAGAGAGGTCAGGTCAGCAACCTGCAAGGAAAAGCTGGATCCCCATCCCCAGAAACAGCAGGAGGGCCGGAGGGCCAGACAGGGTGTGGTGGGCTGCGGGGAGGGGAGGAAGCTCAGGCGAGGGGAGGTGTCTGGGAAGGTGCCTGGCCGCGAGGGAGGCCCAGCCAGGCTGCACAGCAGGATTTCAAACGGAGCTGGAGAAGGGGGCGGCCAGGAAGAGGAAAAAAGGGAACAGGAGGAGGAGGGAGACCACACCAGAATTACCTGATCAAGTGATAGCTGTGAGATGCCAGAGTGCAGCAGAGAGGGGCAAGGGGAGAGAGGAGGGACATGCGCCGGATCAGAGCGGTATGGGACAGAGAGAGAAGTCAGGTGAGAATAAAACCCCGGCTCCTGGCTGGCCCTAAACCCTCCCCTGGTCCGACCCCACCTCCCCGCCATCCCCACGGTCGCTGGGGCGAGGCCGGAGCCTGCCCGGCGCTGAGTGCTGGTGGGAGCCGCGGGTGCCGCGGGGAGCAGGCGAGGGCACGGGCTTGGACTGGGGCCGGAACGCGTCCAAGTCCACACGGCAAATCCCGGCACAGCTTGGCTCTGGGCTCCGGTGTGGGGGCTCCTCTCAGAAGCCACCCGGCTCCGGCGGAGGCTGGGTCGCAGGAGCCGGCGGGAGCCCCCCTCCTCCCTGCACAGGGCGGCTGTCACACCTCCGCCTGGCCCAGGGCTCAGAAGAGGTTCACCTGGCTGGGGCGGGGAAGCCCGCGCAGGGTGGTCAGAGCCTACTCACTTCTGGAACACGAAGATGCCAACGATGAGGGTGAAGGAGATCAGGTCGGCGGTGACCCACATGAGACAGTACTCGTCCGGGGGCTGTGGACAGACGGCCCGAGGCCGGCTTCCAGTCACGGCCAGAACAGACAAGGGCTCCAGAGGGTCCACGGGCAGGGGGACCCCACATCACCATCGAGCAGGGGTGGGGAGGGCCTGGAGGGACAGGGGCTTGAGAGCTGTGGACGTGGAGCCTGGGGGTTGGAGAGTGAGTGAGATGAAAGGTCTGGGTGGGGTGTTAGATCTGGGGCCTGCACCTAAGGGGGCTCAGGTCAGAAAGCTCTCCAGTTTTTTGAGAGACAGACTGGTAACAGTGAGGGTGTGTGTGAGGGAGTGTGGGTCCATGCAGGTGAAGAGTGCTGTGTCACTGCAGGGATAGGGCCTCGGGGCTCCACCAGGGCCCCTTGGCCAGGCCACCTCCATCTCAGGTAAGCTGAGGGGAGGGGACAGGGCTGGGGTAAGGGGCACTTCTTGCTCTTGGTCAACGACTGTGTCCTGGAAATTTGAGTGTGCTCATCCCTGCTGCTGTCACAGTCATTTCACCTCGTCCTGTGCTGAGCCTTTGGAGGTTTTTAAGGACAATGGGCTGGTGGATGGGCGTAACGGTCCATAATCTAGATTGATTCGCTGACCCTGGCACTCTGTCAGCTGCACGGAAACCCTCCACCTGCCTTTTAGGTCCTCAGGGAGGTGGCAGTGGGAGTCCAGGATGGAGGTCAAAAGATCCCTAAGCTTTGCAGTGGTAAGGCTGGGACTGGACTCAGGCCTGTCTGCAGGTGCTAGGGCAGCTAAAAATGTATTAATGGCTGTACGCACCAGCCGACTTGAGTGTTCTCAATGATGCCCTTTCCCCAATGACTTCCCTCCTAGTAAAACAAGACACACTATTCCCCAAACCCCAAAAAAACCAAGTAGCTGTTCACTTCTCTCTGGTCAGACCCAGGCTCCTCTGGCCTCCAGCACCTTTGTGTGGACCCCACAGGCCGTGAAAATCTGCCTCAAGCCTCGACCCCCACTCTGTGTTTCCCCCACCCCTGAGACCACATCAGAGAGAGCCCATGAGTGGCTAGAGCAGCTCCCTGCCATTCTCGAGGTGTCCTCTGCCCCCGCCCTGCCAAATCCCCCAACTCACCAGGATCCAGAGGGGAGAAGGCACCTGGGATAGGACATGGGAGTTGTCGGAGGTGACGGACCGGACCCCCGCGCACCACAGCAGGGAGAAGAGCCACGGCGTGTTGACCGTGTACAGGTTCACACTCAGGTTCCAGGATGCATAGTCCCTGTGGGGCAGGGGGCCAGGCTGGTCAGCCCGAGGACGGGGTGCCTCTGGGCCCAGCGTGGGGAGCCCAGACATGATCCCTTCATGAGGTTGTGCCATCCCCACAACTGTCCCTGGAGGAAGGACTCTGCTCCCAGGCCTGCCAGATGCTCTCAACCTCTCAGCTTTGAACCCTGCGTGTCCAGCCCTCTGCCCAGAGGATCTCAGTCCGCCTCAGGGTGAGCCTGGGCGGGGCCGGGCGGGGCGGGGCGGGGCGGGGCGGGCACCTGAGCTCCTGGCGCGACACCTGAGTGTAGCGCAGGTTCAGCCACTGGATGTGGCCTCTCCGCAGGCTGGCGGCCGCCTCCTTGGAGCCTGAGGTCTGCTGGAAGCCGGGAGCCACCTTCCGCACAAAGGGCCTCTGCCTGCTAGGCAGCCACATGACCTGCGGGCGGAGAGGGAGCAGGCTCAGGTTTCTCTTGTGTAAAATGGGGTTAGAGTGTCGGCCTTTCAGAGCCTGGAGGAGTTAAGAGCTGTGACCTGACGCATGGTGAGAGCTTAAATGGAATAATCATCTTTGGGGGACCACACTTGGTTGCAACATCTCAGGAGTCTCCCCTCTAGACTAGCATCCCATGCCAGTCACTCTGCATGTGGTCAGCAGTGGTGAGGGTGTGCTGTCACGCGTTGGTGTCGCATTCCTCTGAAGCCCAAACATTCACGACAGAGAAGTGTGGCTCAGCTGAAGAGGTGCCTGGTGTCCCGAGAACCTGGACCCACTCGTGCCCTTTGCACATTTTAAGGAATCTCTTGTTCCCCTTTTCAATCTCTTGTTCTCCATCACCCTGACTCTGAAAAGGAGTGAGGAGATGACCCCCCCCCCCACACTTTACAAATGTGGCAGTGAGGGGACAGGGAGTTTAAGCTGAAGCAGGACTCCAGCAAGGCAGGGGTTCTCCTAGGGGTGAGCTGGGGGCCTCACCTGGTGCTGGGGGAAGCCTGAGTGCAGCAAGGCCTCCAGCGTGATGTTGAGGAAGCTGCCGCGGAAGGGGTGTTCCCGTGGCGGGTCACGCAGGTTGAGCAGCAGTGTGGCATTGCCCTTGGCCAGCTCCAGAAGCTCTGCTAGGCTGCAGATGGACTGGTTCTGGGCCTCCCTGTGGTCGGAGGGTGACAGGGAGCTGGCCGTCCAGAAGGGGTCGGTCTGGCAGAGACAGGGACACACACAGGACTGTGTCACCAGTCCTTTCAGCCACTCCTGGGCCTTCTGGGCAATGGAGTGTGAAGGCCACTGAGCTGCCAGTGTCTGGCGGTGCTTGAGTGTGTATGTCAGGCAAATGGATGGCTGTGGCCCTGTGGGGGTTCTCGGAGACCCCAATCCTCACCTTCCTAGGCCAAACCCTGCTTGCCAAAAGAATGGTTTGCTTGGAACATCTTCTAGACCCTAGCAGTTCTCCTTTAGTAGCATTTCAGATCAGAAAACCATCATCCCCCCAGAGGTTTGCCAGTGTTTAAAATTTTAACTATTTACTGTTATCATCACCATCAACTTTTCTGATGGGGGAGACAGAACCAGAATAAGCAGTGATGACCATGATGTCCAAGCTGCAGTGGCAGGAGCTCCAGGAGGTCCCAACCAGCCTGGCAGAGTCAAGAAAGCTCTAGGAGTAGGTCACCCGAGCCCAGGGCCACCCCTGGCCCTCTCAGCCCATGGGGTCCCTGCCCCACTTTCCATGCCTAGCCTGGGACAGGAGTGGCCTCACCTTCAGGAACCACTGGCCGGCGTTGAGCCTCTGCAGGATGGTCCAGTTGAACATGGAGGCAGGCCTGCGCGCCAGCTCCGGGAACTCCTCCTCCACGTTGGTGGTGCGCCGCAGAGTGACATCGTGCATGAGGAAAGGCACGCCGTCCAGGCTGCGAGAGGGGGCCCCGAGTCACGGCCCACCCAGGCCCCGCTCCTGCCCGCCAACAACCACCCTCTACCCCACACTCCTCCCCACCCACTTACACCAACCCACCAGGCGGGCTGCCCTCCCTGGGCCTCGGCCCCGTCTGCCCAAGGACAGCGGGCTGTGGGGGACTCCCTTTTGCTGGGCCTATTCTCCCTGCATCTGGGGAAGGCAGTTACTACCTCGTGTGATACCGGGGCAGCTGTGCTGGGAGAGGGGCGTGCCTAGTTCAAGGTCCACAAGTCAGTCAATGGAACCTGGCTGAGAACCCAGTCCATGTGAGGCATCATGAGCAGCGCCAGCTCCACCCCACCACCATCCTGATTTTCACCATGGAGGCGGCTAATAGCCCATATGGGGGGAATAGGAAAAGGCACCATGCCAATTCCTCAAGGCATTTTACACCATCTGCTCAAGAGTTTTGATAAATCCACAATCTTGTGAGGCCTACGGGAGACAGTGTCCTCGTGCGTGTGCGCTCAGTGCAGCCTGTGCGGCTTCAGGCCTCAATGCTGTCCCCCCCACCTTCTCAGAGATGATGCTAGATTGGTGTAGACGCGGCCTGCCCTTTACACTAATATGTACTTACATCTACATGTGGAAAATGCACAAGTCACTGCTGGGTGACCTTCTAAAATAGAAATGACAGACTAGCGAACATATGGCTCTGCAACTTGATTGCTTCACTCATCACAGTTCTGAGCGCCATCTTGCTGAGCCATATAGATCTGGTCTTTCCCTCAAGCAGATCTGTGGCAGGAGCCCAGACCTCCCTTCTTTGCATCCCCCACGCCCCCAACCATTCGAACTAAGAGCATCTGCTCTTTTTTCTTTTATATCTTGGAGTTTGGCCCAAGGTTGATTAGCATTTACCATGCGCTTGACCTGCTGTGGATGATCTGAGGCTCCACCCTCCCATCTCCAAGGCTCTGGGAACTGAGGTCTCTCTAGCAGAGACCCAGATGCAGATGCTGGGTGGGAGGTGGGGGGGTGGTGGGGAGATGTGGAAGGAGGTATACCTTACTCCCAAACCCCACACCTACCTGATAGTGACGTCAGCCTGGAGCCCATACAACTTCTGCTCTAGGGCCTTCCGAAAGGACATCAGTGTGTGCTCTGGGGCTAGCTGGGGAGGAAAGGAATGGTAAGGGGAGAGTTGAGACTTAGCTGATGTGCCCCTCATCAGCCAACAGAGAACATTCCATGTTGGGAGGCTGGGACAGGCGCAATTTGAATTCTGACTCTTCTAAGCAGTAGCTGTGTGGGTCTCCCCCCACCTTCCAACCTGTGCAGCTTCTTAAAGCCCAGTTTCTTCATCTGCTCAATCATGGCCGCCTCACAGGTTTTGGGAGACAGGGGTGGCTAGTGCCAATATATGTAAATGCCTGACATGTAGCTACCACTTAATAAGCAGTAGCAACAGTCGCTGTGCTATCACTGGTGTCTTCAGGCATTGAGCTAGGCACTGGAGGTAGAGGGCTTTTTAGAGCCCTCTGCCTGTGTGGCCGTCTGGGGCTGGGCTGAATGTATACCCAGAGGCAGAGGAATGGGTAGATGGGATGACAGAGTTTCAGTGGGTATCGGGTGATTTCAGTGGGTTTCCTCATCTATACAGACATGACAAGACTATATCCTGGATTGGTTCCTGGATTATCAGCCCCTAGCATGTTGCCTGTTATACAGAAAGTGATTATAATGACAGCTGTTAACCTTGGAAATCAGCACCAGAAGATCAGAAGGGCAATCATCATCTAGCCACATGACCTTGGGTGAAACTATTACTCCCGTGAACCTCAGTTTTCCACATTTACCCCTTGTAGGGGTGTATATTTGTTGTTCTCTGAGGGTCCTCCCATTTGGGAGGGTTGGGTTTCTAAAATCTCTGAGGCTAGTTCTGTCTACCCTAAGTCCTGTCATAGCGTTTGTTGCCACTGGAGGTCAGCACCACGCCGAGCACTGGGCTAGTGCAGGCACTTGCTGGGTGGAAGACAGGGACTGAGCAGCAGGCAGTGAGGGGGTGAGGTGGCAAGGCTTCCCAAGCCCAAGTCATTCCCACCCACCCCCACTCATTTCCATCTCCTCTCCCTCTGGCTGTGCTGCTCCCCACCACATAATGCACTCCTCTCCTCGGGGAGGCAGCCTGGACGCAAGGAGCAATTCCACTTCCCAGACACCACTTGGGCCACCACCTCACTCACTTTCCAGAACTTCAGTTTCTAAGCCATAAAGTGGGCTACAGTTATCAAGTTCACAGATGAGATTGTTAGGGGGAAAAGGATGTCCCAAAGCTAATTCCATATAGGCTTTGTGGACTCCACCCCCACCCTAGGTCAAAGTCAAAGACACTGGGAACTCCAAATCCCATCACCACCAAAGGGAAGGTGGCTGGGACCTGAGGGTGGGGTTAAGCAGCCAGGTGGATATAAAAGGCAGACACGTGGGCTTTGGAGGATCCCCCATTTTTGGCTCTCCGCCAGCTCGCAGCGGCCGGGCCAGCTCTGAGAGTGACTTTGGGTTTCCAGGTCGTGGGATCGGGTAGGACGCATTAAAGACTTTATTTCCCTATTTTCTCCCTGAGTTGTACATTTTCCTTATTTCCTTTTCTCTTGTAAATAAACCTTTTATTAACCTTTTGTGTGTGTCTGTAGTAGAGTATTCATAAGACCCTTTAAAGCGCGCGGGTGAGGACCCACACCCAGGAACCCGTTTAATATCGGGGCTGCTCTATAACAAGATAACACGCATTAGTATGTCTACAAAGTGAGTTCCTTTCTTCCCTTTCCCCAGAGCAGAGCAGCCTTGCAGAACCTGTTCCCTGTCTCCCAGTTAAGTGTCCCAGAAGTAGAGCAGGATTCAGTTACATCTGAGCACCTGGCCTTTAAATGTCCTGTAGCCAGGCCTTCCACAAGTGACCACTCAAGAGGTACCAACACCCCCTCCTATGTAGGCTGGGCCTACATAGGGAGCTACAAAGGGTCATAGCAGGGGCTGTGAAGACCCTGGTTGGGGGGGGGGGGGATTGTGCAGAGAAATTGGGGGAGGGACTTTGTTTTAAAAGCCTCTTTTCAGAGGCCTCTAAAAGAGGCTTTTAAAACTCAGGTCTCTCTGGGTTAGGTGCAGGCCTCCTGGAGAGAGGTATAGAAGCCTGGCCTTCTCTGGCCAACCTGGGAACTCAGGAAGTGCCAGTGGGAGATTCCCGGGAGATATACTTGCAATCACAGTGACACACAGAGGGCTTGTGTTAGACCCCGTGTCCATCCCTCAAAAACCACATGAGAATGTCAGATGCACCCCATGGGAAATTCTACAGGACATATGACTCAGCTACCTCAACATGTAAACAGCACACAGAAAAAAAAGAAGGGTACAGTTACAGATGAAAATATACTTAGATGTCAACCAGATACACCATGTGTGCTTTTTAACAACTCAACTCTCTAAAAGATATATAATATATATTATATACATATATGTTTTAAAACTTAATTCATTTTCTTTTTTTAAAATTATTATTTATTTTTGCATAGAAGAACTGGGGTCTAGGCCAGAAAGGGGGGGGGGGTTGAGGAGTCACCAGAGACAGAGTGGGGAACAGAACAGGCGGACTAACGAAATACCCTGCTGAGGGGAGCAGTGGGTGAGACAGAGAAGTCTGCTGTGCCATGTGGGTCAGCTCCCTGGCCGGGGATTGAACTCAAGCCGTAGGGGTCATAGTGCTAAGACTTAACCCCCAGACTACCAGGGAGGTCCCTGAAAAGATATTTTTTAAAAAAACAAAAAAACTAAATATGCATTCAATCTTAGATAAAATAAAGGAATTATTTATTTGGTCAGGCAAACAGCAGCATTGTGGCTGTGGCTATGTTAAGTTCCTGCTGCATTAGAGATATACCCTGAAGTATGAATGGTAAAAAGATGTAATAGCTGGAATTTGCTTTAAAATACTAGAGCAAAAGGGGCCTCCCTGTTGGCACAAGGGGTTAAGATGCAACCTGTGAAGCTGTCCACAGCCTCTGCTGCACGAGTTCGATTCCTGGCCACGGAGCTACCCACATGGTGCAGCAGACCTCTCCTGTCTGCCTGCTGCTCCCCTCAGCAGTGTATTTTAGTTAATCTGCCTGTTCTGTTCCCCACTCTGTCTCTGGTGAATCCTCTCACCCCCCCACACCTCTGGCCTGTACCCTGGTTCTTGTATGCACAAATAAATAAATCTTAAAAAAAAAATACTAGAGCATAAAAAAAGCAGGGAGATAGATGAAACAAGAATAGCAAAAAAATATTGACAAATGTTATGATGGTATTAGATTACCATCATGTTCTTCATTATACAGTGCATTATACTCTTCTTTCCACTTCTGTGAGTATTTGAAAGTTTTCTACTAAAAACCAATCCATGCTGGGGTCCCCTCACTCCAGAGTAGGTGTGGTGGGTAATCTGGTGGGGCAGGAGCCACAGCCTTGGGCCCCACCCACCCGAGAAAGCTGCCTTTTAATTTCCTTACATCAGACTCCAAGGGGATGGATGACAACCATCCATCAGGCAGCATGTAGCAAAACTGGACCCCAAGCCCAGATCTCTCTGATTCCAAAGCCTTTCCCGGCTGGTTGCCTCCATGGTGTCGAGACCAGTATGGGGTGTAGTGGGAGAGCACCAGGATGCAGCTCAGGGCACAGAACTTTGAGACTTATCTAGAAAATGGACACAATGACGTGCACCACATGCAGGGGAAGGATCTTCGGAGTGATTTGCAGTCCTGTCAGATTTGACACCTCCTTTCAAAACATTTACTTTGTAGTCCTCCTTGACTATCCTGAGATTCAGCGAAACCACAGCGCTCCCACTCTGTGACAATCAAGAACAAGCTCACAACCCATATGCCCAAAAACAGATGACTGGGTCAAGAAGATGTGGTACATATACACAATGGAATATTACTCAGCAATCAAAAGAGATAAACTCATGCCATTCGCAGCAACATGGATGGAGCTAGAAGGAATTCTGCTCAGTGAAATAAGCCAGAAAGAAAAAGAAAAATATCCGATGGTTTCACTTATAGCAAGAATATAGGGAAACCCAATAAGACATCGGTGTAAAAAAATAACAACAGTACAAAACACAACAAAGCAAGAACGGACAATTACAAACCAGAGACATCCTGCAGGGGAGGAGGAGGGAGAGGAATCAGGGAGGGAGGGAGGAGCACAGGGGACTGCGGTGATGGTGCACGGGTACACTGGTGAAGGAAACTCTATGGGGACCACACCTGAGGGGGTGGGGGGAAGCAAATATTGTTTCAAAATGAACAATGATGTAAAAAATAAAAAAAAAATTAAAAAATGCACCAATTTGAAAAGAAAAAAAAAGGAAATAAGAAAATGAAAAAAGTGGGATTATGGATAATTTTATAAAGTTTTACATTTAAAAATATCTATATTGAGAATCAAGCAAATAATAATAAAAATATATGAAAAACATTGCAAATACAAATAAATATTTGTAACATTAAAAAAAAGTAAGAACAAGCTCTCACGGGCCCCACACGCCCCCAGCAGGCGGGCATTGGTACTGCTCCGCGGAGACCCAGGGTTGGGGGGCGAGGTTTTGTGGGCGAGGGAGCTGTGCACAGGGCTGCCCAAGATGAGGGGAATGTCTGCCTCTTCCTTCCTGTGTACCAGGCTCACAGCTGGGCACTTCAGACACGCTAACTTCTGCTTCACTGGACCCTCCAGACCAGGCTTTCTCATGATCCCAGGGCACAAAATGAGGAAACCAAGTAAAAGAAGAGGCTGGCCAGGCCCCCAACGCTGCCAAGGGGCCCAGCTGCCCTCTCACCGGAAGGAGGGCCTCTGGCTCACCAGGTGCCCGGTGCGTAGCGGGAGCAGGAATGAACGGACACCGACTCCTTCCTCCCTCCCTTCAATCCACTTCAACGCCTTCCCCTAGCAGTGGGCTCACACCTACCGCTCCTTCTCCCCACACCCCGCATGTCTCTCCAGAACCTTCTAAACCCAGAGTCCAGCAGTATCTGGCCCTGGCCTGATGCCTGCCCCACCTATGTCTTTCCTGGATAAAAGTGAAAACTTTTTACTAAGATGCCTTCAGGGCTTTTCCGGATTTGATCCATCCAAGTATTTTCATGTGGCCTTTTCATCAACCCTTCCTTTATACTCCCCAACAGGGGCTAAAAATTGTTGCTAAAATTATATTACAGGCATTACAGGCATCATATCTATATCTATTTCCCTACAAGGTCCAAGGTCCTCCCCCTCATATCTTTGGCCCTCTCCCCCTGGAATGGCAGCTCTGCCCACCCCACCCCCAACCGACTGTTGGGACCCCCTGATGGCACTCACCATGGGGGCCCCACGGTGGCCGATGAGGGTGGGCTTGGGGCCCAGGTCCTTTTTCTCCATGATGCAGGGAGAGGAGAAGGAGAGAGGGGCCAGGTAGAGGGCAAACAGCACAGCGAGGAAGGTACAGAGAATGGCCATCTGGGAGGCTGCAGACACAGGGTATGAGTGCTGCCTGGGGAAGCCTTTCTGTTCCCACCAGACCCCCCACCCTGTGAGCCCTGGGTAGGTTGAGGAGGGACAGTGGACCACGTTTCCCTCCACCTGTCAGCACTCAGATGATCTGAGGGGACCTCAGGTCACCAAGGTATCCCCCAATCATTCTGGGAAGAATCATGCTGGTCCTCTAGATACAGGGACTCAGCAAGGCCAGCAAGTCTGTAACCCTCCATGGAACCTTCCAGTCACTCTGAATCAGAAATCCACCCCTCCTTATCCCCCCCATCCCCACGCCAAGAGTGAGAGCTCCATCTTAGCCCCTGGCCACCCAGGTAACATGCAGGTGAGGGCAGGACAAGCTGGCCTCGGTACTTGGAAGGCCCAGGAGAGGCAGGTCCCACCCAGTCGTACTCACAGGACCTCTCCATGCGGGCGAACTGTCCTGCTATGATCCAGGAGAGCGCGGTGATGGTGACCAGGGCTGCCATGTGCAGGAATGGTGCTGTGCCCTGGTGTGAGACGGGGCAGAGGGGGGCCATTGGCTCCCAGTCATGTTGGACACTCTGGTTATACTCTGGTCCGATGGCGTCTGACTAGCCATGGGGCAGGCAACTCTGTCTCCAGTTTTAGGGGAGGAAACCCCACTTACCCTCAGAGAGATCAGCAGCACCTCCCACTCGTCCTCCCACAGCTGAGCCACTGCCGACATGGCCACCACCGTGGCCACCAGGATGACCACCAGCCCAATCTAGGAGGGGAAAAGCCACCAGGCAGAGGGTCAGAGCCTGAACAATCTGAGGAGCCTCAGGATGCCTGAGAGACAGGAGCGACAGGAGAGACGGGAGAAATGGAGCTAGCAAAGGAGACTAAAAGCAGGGCAGGTAGGAGGGAAAAAGACCAGCACGGATTGAAAGAAAGCCAGGCAGAGCAACCAGCGCAGGCAGATGCTGCAGTGGTGAGTAGTAGGAAGGGCAGCATCTCGGGGAAAGGCCTCCTATTTACTAGAAAGCCCAAGCACTCTTCAAGCCTCCTCTTTACCTCCTGGGCCCTTGGACTTCTCCTGGAGCCCTAACCGGGAGGGGTTTCTGGGAAACAGGGGCTTTGGGAGGAGTCCCCAAGGGGCACCTGGACCCACTCACAGTACCCAGCCTGCTACAAAGGACTCCCTCCCAGCTACATCCTGGGCCTTGCCATACTCAGGACTTGGGGGAAACAGACTCTCCAAAGAAAGATCATGATTAAAACACGGTAAAAACTGTAGTATTAAATGTGGGACCAGTGTGAGACTAGAGAGAGAAAAGAGATAAATAAAAACTTCAGAAATAGATCTAAATATATTTTTAAAATTCTAGTGGATGACCTCGGCAATGTATTTCGTCAGTCATGCCTCTGGCCTGTACCCCAGTTCTTGTATAAATAAATAAATCTTTTGAAAAAAAATTCTAGTGGATGATAAAAGTATCATATCAAATTAGAAGAGAAAGGAGGGATCACTCCACAGAGTCGGGAACACGGGCGCATCATCTAAAAAGAACAAAGTACAATCACACTATGCCCCTAAAATAACTCACAAAAAGATTTTTTTAAATGTTTAAAAACTGTAGAAATGTATAATTACCAGGTGATACCAGAGAGAAATGATTTCTAACCATGGAGTGGAAAAGACTTTTAAGTCTGACACAAAACGCAGGACCATAAAAAGAAATGACAGATTCAAATCCTTGAGAAGAAAAAGTTTCTATAGCAAAAAACACAACAAAGTCACAAGGTGAACAACAAAGTGGGAAGAACAATTTGCAGTTCATCAGCTGCAGATTTTCTGAATCTATAAAGAGCTCCTGCAAATAAGCAGAGACCAAATCCCATAGCAAAGAGGGCAAAAGCTATGGAGAGACAGATGATAGCAAAGAAAATGCAAATGACTTAAGCATGCGTTAGAGGCCCAGTCTCACTCAGCAGAAGGGGAATGCAAATTAAAACTACAGTGGCCCCTGGGGGCCTAGAGATTCAGTCTCAGCACTATCACTGTCATGGCCTGAGTTAGATCCTGGCCAGGATGCTGACCCACATGGCGCAGCAGACCTCTCCAGTCTCGCCCGCTGCTCCCTCAGCAGTTATTTCAGTAGATCCGCCTGTTCTGCTCCCCACTCTGTCTCTGGTGAAACCTCTCACCCCCTGCACCTCTGGCCTGCACCCCAGTTCTTCAACAAAGAAATTAAAAAAAAAACAAAGCAAAACAAAAACTGCATGGGGCTACCATTTCCACCCATTACCCAGGCAAACGTGAAGAAATCTGCGGAGACTTTATGAGCAGGGCTGCTTTAATGGGCGCAGTCAGATTGCCGGAGAGTACCAATTGGTGGTCCCTGGCAAGGAGGTCATCTGGTTAGAACTATCAAAGTTACAAAAGTACCCACACTTTACCCCACCTAGACCCCTGCCACAGTGCCCTGGCAATGGACTGAACGTGACTGGGATCAGGCCCGTCAGCAGGGGCCCAGCTGGAACCCTTGGGAGCTGTGGGTTAGACATGGATGGGGCAGGGGCCTGTGACAGACATGTGTTCTTAATGTGCTCAGGAGAAGGTGAACTCCAGAAATTCTGTTAAGGAGAGGTAGGCTACTACTTCTGTTTAAAGAAAAGGGGAAAAGGAAATGTTTATTTGCATATGCTTAAAAGGTCTCTGGAAACACTGTGGGAAGATTTGCATTGTATTGTTTTCCTATCTTTTTAATTTTTTTAAAAGATTTATTTTATTTATTTATGCATACAAGAGCTGGGGTGTAGGTCAGAGGTGCAAAGAGGGGGTGGTGAGAGGATTCACCAGAGACCGAGTGGGGAGCAGAACAGGCAGATGGACTGAAATACACCGCTGAGGGGAGCAGCAAGTGAGACAGGAGAGGTCTGGCTGCCGACAGCTTCATAGTGCTGAAACTTTGAGACTTAATCCCTTGAGCCACCAGGGAGGTCCCACCTACCTTTTGAATTTTGAACCATGTCAATGTACTAGATGGACCCTCCCCTCTCCCTCCAATAAAAAGGTTCAAACACAGCAAACAAACTAGAAAAATAGTAAGGATTCCTTAGAATCAAATGCTAGAATGAAAATTTCCAGCCCCTACTCAATACTCTGAGCCCCAGGGAACTCCCTCCCTCCTGGCCCAGTGAGTTGAAGGCTGGATGAGCTCTGCAGAAGGGACTGTCCTCATGCGGATTCCCCTGGGGAGGAAGGGTGGGGGAAGGCAGGCAGGACTGGCACCCCAGAGCTGGCACCAGTGTCTGATCCCCCCCCTCCAGGAGACTCCCTATACTGATCCACCGCCCTAGCAGGCTCAGTGTGTCCAGGGGCCTCTCTGCCAGGATCAAGCAGGTGTGACCCGGCCTGCTGAGAGCAAAGCAGGACCCAGGGTGTGCACACCACATGGGGGCCAGCTGGTGCAGCTCTTTCAAGTGGCAGCTTTACAACGGGGAGAAGAAAGTACCTCAAAAGGGAACTGCAGAGACGGAGATGCAGAGGAGGCCTCAGGACAGAATGACAAGCAGGAGCGAGGTGGGAGGGGACAGGAGCTACAGGCTGCATCCCATCACCTCTGCAGTCAACTGGCCTGACTCCCCAGCTTGTGAACTAGGGAGGTTCTCCTGCACCTCAGCCCAACTGGGGCTCACCATGTCCTTCACCCAGTTCCTGTTCCATGTCCCCCCTTCTAGATAGAAGTGGGCCCCTCCTTTCAGAGTCACTTTGGACTCATGTCCTAGGCTCATGGTACTTGCAGACACATCTGCCCCTCCCTAATTTGAGCACCCTTTCTGAGCCAGGCCCTGGGGAGAGAGGTGGCTCTCCTGCCTCGAAGGCCCCGGTGCTCCTGGCAGGGAGGGTCTCTTGTGCTGCTCCCAGTCAGCGGGTTCACCAGGAGCATCAGCAGCACCCCCTCCTCACCATGCGTGCAATAAACAGCAAGAGAGCACGGCTTCCCCGCTCGGGGCCAACCCCAAGTGGGGCGCTGGGAACATGAAGATGGGGAAAGCCAGCTCTGGCCCATAGGGAGCTCCCCAACTAGGGAGGTTTGGGGTAGGGGAGTTGGATGGAAATGGACAAGGGGGAGCAGCAGCTGGGACAGCCTGAGAAACCTGCTTAGGCAAGAGAGATGAGGAAAGGTCCGAGAGAGAGGGAGGGCAGGATTAGTAGAGAAGAGGCAGACGTGCTGGGAGGCCTGAGATGTTTCACGTGGCAGAGCGGAGGATGTTGGGCCCAGGACAACAGTTGGGGCCATGGGAGGGACCACATCATGCAGGGCCCTAGTGCTGGGCGGGGGAGATGGGGGAGATCGGGTCCTTCCGGGAGCAGTGGGAGTGGCGGGGAATAACTTCACTGGATCAGAGTGTTGAAAGGAGCTCAGGAGAGAAATAAGAGGAGAGAGTGAGGCTCTGGCGGAGGCCTGGGCAGGGGTGGGGCCTGAGATAGGAGCTGTGACCTGAGCGGGTTCTCTGAGGCCACTGGCTGAAATCCTCCACTTACTCTCTTTATTCATTTATTTTTTTAAAGATTTATTGATTGATTGATTGATTGATTTATACATACAAGCACTGGGCACAATCGGAAACGTGGGAGGGTGAGAGAATTCACCAGAACCAGAGTGGAGAGCAGAGCAGGCAGAAGGACCAAAGTACACTGCTGAGGCGAGCAGCGGGCGGCAGGAGAGGTCTGCGTGCCATGTGGGACCCTCCTCCGGTGGCCGGGGAGCAGCTGGGAGGAGCAGCCGGGATGGAACCGGCGCCGCAGAGGCCGTGGGCAGCTTCACAACCCAGCGCTCAACCGCTGCGCCACCGGGGAAGCCCCACTTACTCTCTTTAGACTGGGCAGGTGACTTCACATTTTGTGCCTCAGTTTTCCGAACCACAAACTGGGAGGGACACAGCACCTACATCACGGGGCTGCTGTTAGGGAAATGACTTGCTTCGGGCCGGAGAACAGTGCAGGGACATCAGGAGTGCTGGGTGTTAGCTGCTAGGACAGTGATGATTTCTCTCCAGCGCCTAGACACTGCTTTCTCTGTCGCTGCGGCCTCCTGCCCTCTCCCCTGCCCTCTCCTAGCCCCTTGGAGGAGCCCTTACCTTGTGCAGCCAGTGCAGGTTCATCTGCTGTCCCACAGCAATGTGACATAGTGCCAAGATCTGAAGAGGGGGCCACGGGGCGGCAGTTAGGGTACCGAGCGTGACCAGAGGCTTCTGCCAGTTCTGGAGACACCTCCCCACTGATGCTCCGGGCCTGGCTCAGCACAGTCGGCAAAGCCTCTCTGTAGGTGAGAGGAATGCCCAGCCCACCCCAAGCCTGGCCTCTCCCAGGTTATTCAAGGCCTCCAGCCCCCCTTCTTTTCTGGGATTTCCCTCTCAAGAGGTCACTGGACCCTGTTGTCCTTGGACTGCCAAATTAATGTTTGGGGACTTCTAGATTTGAAAACAGACTGAGCCCACCTCGCGAGCCCACCCTGCTCCCCAGTCCAGCTTGGGGCCGGACCTGAGTGAATAGATTACTGGCAGCAGGAAGCAAAGCAGAAGTTCCTTTGAGAGGAAGTCTGCAGTGGGCCTAGATAGCTGGAGGGCTCTCAGTGGGTCAGGGCAGAGGGATAATATTCTAGGATGGGGCAAAAGCAAGTTGACCTCCCACCTTGGTGGGCATAGGCCCCAGAGGGGCAGCAGTCCAAAGCCCTGGGAAAAGCTGGCTCCCTCTTTATACCAGGGAAGATCCTCTCCTCCAGCCTGACACAGGCCATGTCCCTTCCCTTATGAGCCCCCCCCACCCTCTGAAACAACCCACATACCAGGAGGACTGCAATATAGGTAAAGGCGACAGCCGTGGTCAGGAGGATGGGCACAGACCAGTCGCTCCAGTAGTCCATGCGATTGTAGAGGTACCTGCCAGGGGAGAAGGGGCAGAGCTCAGGACTCCAAGGGAAACAGGATGCTCCTGGGCAACTGGGCCCAGCGACCAGGCCCTCCCACTCAGGAATGATTGCACAGTCTCCCTGACCATCAGTCAGGCCTGTGGAGGCCTCACGGACAATGCCTGAGTATGCCAGAGGCACAGAGAAAGCAACATTCCCCGTGGTTCTACGGCCAGGGGTTACTGTTACCAAGACTGGGCTGAATTTCCTTCCAGTGGGCACACCCCAGACTTATATATCAACAGCAAAGCTGGGACCCCACTTTGTATAGCATGGAAGTCAGAGCAAGGCTGTGGAGGGAGGTGCCCGCTGGATCAAATCCTCGCTCTGCCTTTTGGCGACCTGTAGCGCCCATAGGTTTCCCTATTCGAAGGTGCCATCAGCTGTGACGCTCGCTGCAATTTCAAGGTGAAAATGTGGGGTCTTAGGCTTGATAGAATGTAATAGCCGACATCTTGACACCTCAGTTTCCTCATCTACAGAATGGGGATAACAAATACCCTCATGGGGTTTCTTGAGGATGAAAGGAGGCGAGGCACGTGGTGAGCACTCAGTCCACTCTTATTGGTAACATTATTTTCCTGATGTCAGTAAAAATCCTAAGACGTGTGATCTTTTTTTAACAACCACAGCATCTTCTATTGAATGAATATTATACCACGGGTAGCCAAGTTCCTACTAACGGCAATTAATCGTTTCCAGTTATTCACTATTGTAAATTAGCACACAAAAAAGAATGTTGTACATATCTTTCTGGATTACTAATTATTTCCCCAGAATAGACTCCCACAAGTAGAAATATAAGGCCAAGGGAATGCATTTTTTCTCTTTCTTTCCCCCTTACATTGTTGTTCATTTTTGTACAGCATTTTATTTCTCCCCTCAGGTGTAGCCCCCGTAGATCTCCCACCACCAAAGCACCCGTGAGCCATCACCACAGTCCCTTGTGCTCGTCTCCCCACCACCCGTGTACCCCTCTCACCCCCTCCCCTGCAGTATGACTCAGCTCTATGGTCAGCTTGCAAGTTTTGTCTTTTTCCTGATCTTTGTTTGGCTTCTTTATATTCCACATACAAGTGAAACCATCCGGGGAATGCATTTCTTAGGGCTCCTGAGAGGTACTCCTTAGTGGCTCTACAGAAAGACTGCACCACCCACATCTTCCTCATACAACTGGGGAAAATGAGGCTTGTAGAAAGGGAACAATTTCCTCAAGGTCATCTGAGCAGTTAAGCTGTTTTCAGGCCTGCTGCCACCCTGGCAGGGGACTGGGACGGGACACTGTGAGGACACACCTCCCTCCCCTGCAGCCTCCCTTGGCCTTCACTCAGATTTCAGAGGAAAATCTACTGCCGGCAAGACCACCAAGTCTGGCTGACATCTTACTAAGAGTTGGGGGAACTGAGGCCCAAAGAGGCGGGAGATCTGCTTCTAAAACTGCTCCTGAGAAAGTTCTGCCAAATTCTTGTCTCTTACTTTCGGCAGAGAGCCCTCCTGGACAGCAAGAGACAGAAGGTCCCTCCCTGGCTCTCCTCACCCAGTGTGAACAGCTGAGTCTTGCTAACATCCGCTTACTCCATGAACTATCCCCAGAGCCTCTTGGGACTGTGAGGGCTGGGCCAGGGGCTCCTGAATCCCAGCACTGGCTCCAAAAGACTGAGGTGGCAGGGGCCTCCCTGGTGGCAGAGGGGTTAAAGTCTCAGTGCTATCAAGCTATTGCCAGCCACTGCAGCATGAGTTCAATCCCCCGCCAGGGAGCTAGCCCATATGGTGCACAGACCTCTCCTGGCTCACCTGCTGCTCCCCTCAGCAGTGTATTTCAGTAGATCCACCTGTTCTGCTCCCCACTCTGTCTCTGGTGAATCCTCTCAACCCCCACACCTCTGGCCTACACCCAGTTCTTGTATGCATAAATAAATAAAATAAATCTTAAAAAAAAAAACAAAAAAAAACTGAGGTGGCAGGCTAATGGAGCTGCAGCTCTTCAGGTTATCCCTAAATTCCAAGCTCTGCAGCATCCCCAAAAGGGCATGCACCAGTCTTCTGAATCACCCAGTGGCAGGGAGCTCATTCTCTGGCTAGATGGGGTAGCTCTGGGAACAGCATGGTACAGTCAGACAGGCTCAAGTCCCTGTCCCAGCTCTGTCTGCATCTTGCTGTGTGACTTTGGGAAGGCTACTTAACCTCCCTAGGTCTCAGTCTCTTCACATTGTCTTTAAAATGTGTTCTTGGCACTAACAGGTTGTGTGGCCATAGTGAGCCCTGCCTCTCTCTGGGCCTCAGTTTCACCATCTGTGCCTGAGGGGATGGACTTGATGATCTTCCAGCAGCAGACCTCCAGTCCTGCAGAACTGCCCAAGGTCTGCAGTCGAGGGCCAGGAGAGAACATTCCATTTACCCATCGTAGTGCCTGTCTTTGGACACCTGCGAGGATGAATAATTGATTTATGGCATTTAATAAAGGCCAGGGGCCCCCTCTGGGACCCAGCTGGGGCTCCGGCTCATCTTGCCAGGCTGCTGGGGGGACAGCAGTACATCCTTTATTGTGCTCATTAATAACAGACGCAGGGAGCAGGTGCCCAGACTGCAGGACAGAATCTCAGGATCATCACAGGCTTCTAGAATGACGGCCTGCAGAAGCCCAGCGTGCCGGAATTCCAGATTCTGACATCCCGACTGCCTGCGGGCTGGAAATCTGCCCTCCTAGGAAGCAGCCCTCAAGATTCTGTGGAACTTTGAGCCCTCTTACTGCTGTCACCTCATTTCATCCATGACCTGGAGAGGTTGGAGTTATCCCATTTACCAGAAGAGGAATCTGAGGCTTGTAGAGGAGCATGGACTTGCTCACAGTCGCAATGCGCTGAACTTCTGATCAGAAAGAACACAGCACTGGATGGGGAGTGAGGAGGCCTGGCCCACAAGCCCCAACTCTGCAGAGTAACTGTATGACCCGGGGTCTGTTTCCACACCTGTCAGTGGAGGAGCGCCCATGAGAACACAGGATCCCACCCTCCTTCCATGGCCATTCACTGTTTGACAAAGGCAGGAACAGGAAAGGAAAAAACAGGGTCTTCCTACACCCAGTACCAGTCTCAGACAGCCTTGCCACCGGACCTGAGGCTGGTGTCCTCAGAGGACCCAGAGCTATCCTAGCACCATCATGTCTGTCAGCCCTGCCCCAGGCCCTGTGAAAACTGTGAGGAGGTAGAGGGCATGGGGTGTCTTCCTCTGATGCCTTGGTCTCTCTGGGCCTTGGGGCTCTTGTCTACAAAGAGGGAGCCCAAGCTGATCCCTGCCCATCTTATGTTTCTATTTTCAATGATAGCAGGACAGCAGGAAGGAGTTACCTGTTTTCCCTGGTGGGTCTTAGTTCCTGCCAGCTCTTGCTCTTGATGGAGACCCTGCTCCAAAGGTCAAACAGAGAACTGGTGGCAGAACTCTGAGAACCTGCCTGGGGAAGGCTGAAACCCAAGACCTTCCCCTCATCCTACCAGGCCCCTGTCCCTGCCCACCCTGCCCTACTCACCAGTTGAATTCATCGTAGTCATTGTGGACTTCCCACCAGAAGTAGAGCCAGGTGAGTATGAGGCCGAAGGTGAAGGTGAGGAGCAGGAACCAGAGGCGTTCCCACTGCAGAGCAGAGTGAAGAAGAGCAGAGTGAGAACATGGAGTCAGGGGCTGGCACCTCAGGCTGCCTCCCAGGGCCCGACTCCTCCTGTAGACAAACCTCCCAGGCAGGGAGTATTGCCTCTTTACACTGTGGGGGCCTGAGGTGCAAAGAGGGGCAGTGACCAGTACAACAGCAGAATGGTGGGAAACTGGGAGCAGGGTTAGGGGTCCACCCAGAGCTGGGTCCTTTTTGCTGCAGCCTGAGATCTTCCCAGTGTGGCTCAGTACCCCCATTCTGGTGATGGCCCCAGGAGAAAAGCCCATGTTTGCCCTTAGCCTTTGCACCAAGGTGATCTGCAGTCTGGGAGGTCACATCCCCCGCCTCCCTCCTCCTCACACACACCTAACAAAACAGGTGCTATTCTTTCCACACTCTGCCCAGCTACCAATAAAAACAGTGAGGCCCAGAGAGGCAAAGCCACCTGCCCAAGTCACACAGCAAGTTAGTGGAGAATTCAAGACAAGATCTTTAACCCTCACGTGAAAGACCTGAAGAAATACAGTGTTCTGTGCCCAGCCAGGCACCAGGCCCCGCTGGGCTGCACCAGGTCACCTCTGTCTCCTGTTGAGGAGGAGGCAGAGTGGTGAGGGCCACTGACCCAGCATTGCTGCTTCCTGAGGGGCCACTTAGAGGTTTGAAAGAGCTTCCTGCTTGGGCCTCGGGTTTACCTGCTTTCATCCAACCCCTTATCTCGGAAGCATAAGCTGGGAACATCCTGCTTTCTGGAAAACTGCTGAGAACATCAGAATGAACCAGCACTCCTTGAAGGGAAATCAGCACTGGAAGGAAGCAAGTCTGCCCTCCCCTGGAGGGGCTGGAGGGCTGGGGGCAGCCCAGGTACTGCTCGCCCAGGAATAGCCGGGCCCCTTGGCCTGGACAGGACAGCCAGCCCAGAGCTATGGCTCTAACCTCAGTTTACCCACTTGATGGCTCCTCTCTGCTTAGCCAATCAGGGTCCCCCTCCCCACCTCAGGTCCAACTTCATCCCCTTCCCCGCAGCCAGTTCTGTCACCTGGAAGGGCGACTGTCCCTGGACTTGTTTGCCTGATCTCCCATCCGCTTTTCAAGCTGACACAGATGTCACTTCCTCTGTGAAGCCTTCCTGGACTCCATTCCTGCCACCTGGATCCACTCCCTGCTCAATGCTCCCCCAGCATCAGTGTTCCTGGCTTTAAACTCATACTCTGTGCTGTGTGGTTTGCTCATGTGACTGTGTTTCCCAAATGGCTGTGGATTCTGCTGGGAGAGGGTCTGAGCTGGCTGCACTCCCTTAACATTTATGAGCATAAGATGAGGAAGGGAAGCTTGCTCAATGCCCAGGATCCACTCACTGCCTCTATCCTGCACTATAGGAGACAGCACAGTGTCTGAACTGACTTCCTGACTTCCACGTAAAAGCTCCACGACCTCGGGGTCACAGCCAACGTAAACTCTCCGGCCTCCGATTCCTCCTCTGTCAAGGAGACAGTAACAGTAGAGTGAGTCCTCACTTGACATCACCCACAGGTTCTTGAAAACGGTGACTTTATTAAGCGAAATCCCATACAACAAAACCAGGTCTGCCAATAAGGTCGTTTTGTTCAACATTGGCAGGGACTCTTTTTTTTTTACCTCATCAAAATCAGAGTCAAACAACATTGAGTGAAACGATGTTATTCAAAGACCTGCTGCATTTACACCACAGGGCTGATGGGAGAAGTCACTGAGATGACACAAGTCAGGTGCTCAGAACCCAGCCCAACAGGCAGGGAGCTCCTGCAGGCCCACAGCAGCCTCTCCCAGCAGCTGGAAAGGCCTCCAGCCCTGCTGAGCTGCGCGCAGCACTCCACGCTCCACTTGGTGCAGGAGGGCTCCAGCCCGGGTGACAAACTACAGCCACCACATGTCGTGCCAGGCCGCCTCGCTTAGCGCTGCTTTGTCCAAAAACAGAGAAATGACAGTGATGATGCCTGGAACCCATCCTTTGGGCAGGTGGGAGACAGCTCTCAGCGCACGGGCTGCTGTGTCTGCCATCTATGGAAAGGCATGGGGTCAAATCTTGCTTGGATGGAAAGACCCTGGGGGCAGAGCAAGCCCCATGTCCTCATGGAGCCCTGACCTGAGAATGGCTGGGGCTGTTGGGGGCAGAGAAGAGTCAGGATTCAGGCCTGCTTCCATGGCAGGGCCCTGGGGCTGAAGGCTGAGGGGCTGCCCCCAGCCCAGAGCTTGGTCTGCACATCCGAGTCAGCACCCTCATCCTGGCATGAGTTCAGGTTGGAGGCAAGATCAGGACCAAAGTCCTAGGAGCTGGAAGCCAGCAGCCTGCCCCATGGCCACAGGGAGCCTGTAGGTGGGGGTGAAGAGGCCCCAACCACAGACAGGCTTGTGGGCGGGAGGCGGCTGGTTATTCTAAGAACAATCAGAGGAAGAAACTGAATGATGGGCAAGAAGAAAGGGGAAGGGAAGGCCAGGAACTGGCGATCAGCTCCCTGACAAAGAGGCTGCCAGCGGCACTAATGGTCCTAGCAGAAGGGAGGCCCAGCCTGCTCCGCCTGTTAACAAGCCCTCCTGGCTCTGCTCTCCCGGGAGGCGGGCCACGGGGAAGCTGCCACGCTGGGAGGGTGCTGCGGGCACAGCCCACTGACACCACTTACGGTCTGCACAATGCCTGGGATGATTTATTTTGGGTATTTACCCGTCTGAAGTCACGAGCCTCAGAGCAGGGCCACTGCCTGCAGCTGAGTGAGTTGTGGACCCCAAGGCCGGCAGAGCCACTATACTGTGGTTGTTGTTGGTGTGCACACATGTGGTGACGATTTCCCAGCAGATGCTGGCTGAAGGTCCTGCCTTCTGCTAATTTACACAAAGGCTCAGTGTGGCGAGCAGAGGTGAGAGCAGGAGCAACAACGCAAGGTCACTGAGTGGGAGGGGGACTGAACCCAGGTGTCTTGCAGCCCCGTGGGAGCCAGCCCTGAACTACTCTCCAAAAAGCTCAGCCTTGCCCTCTGGAGCCCTGTGCTCACTTTGCCTCTCTTTCTGAGGCCCACCCCTAGGCCAAACCTCTTTCTCTTTCAAGAAGCCTCTCTGTCTCTCCTGGCCCTGCTACTCTGACCCTCACTCGCATTCTGGGTTGTGAAGATGAAAAGAGACGGGGCTCAGAGTAGACAGAACTTGGGTCAGTTACTGAATTCCTCTGAGCCCCGGATTCCACCTGTCAAATGCAAAGAGGAACCTCTACCTTGGAAGGTTGACATTAAATGGGGAGACACAGGTCAAGAGGCACAAAGTAAGGGACCTTCCAGCCTGTGGACCCCGTCAGGGCAGGGATGGTCATGCTATCTCTGTATGACCCAGGCCCATGTACAACGGGGCACACGGGGGTACCTGGATAGGGTGTGACGAACAGAAGAGTGGGTGAACATGATGTGACACAGGGAGGTGCTGGGGCCAACCCCAGACTTCTCCTCAAGCTTATCCTTACCCCTTACCAAGGAAGGCAACCTGGTGAACCCGTCTTCTGTTTAGAGCCTTCAGCCACCTGGATGCAGGACAAAGGTTAGCAGTTCCTGAACTGACCTGGGCATCGGGCACTGAAGAGGGTGCTGAGAGGTTCTGGCGTGAGGAACCAATGGGGAAAGCACAGGAGGAAGGGGTGGCACCGGCTGCAGAGGGGAAGTCATTCCCTTCCTGCTCCGAGGGTAGCTGCTATGATGGCAAATCCGAGACCCCAGCCCCACAGGCTACAGGGCCCCAAATCCCTGCATCCTCCTCCCATTCTCTGCCTCACCCTGCAGGCAGATGAGACTCGCCCCCTCCCCTTCCCATGCCCATTTCTCCTCCCCACTGTCTTTTGCTGATTGCCACATCTCCTTACCACTCTCATCTCTGTCTCACCCACCCAGAGCCATCTGCATTCAGGGAAGAACAGGGAAAGAGAGCTTATTAGCTGCTGGGGCTGACAGTCACAGAGCGCAAGATGGGCACAATTCCCAGCTCTGCACAGGAAGTGCAGGTGAGGCTCTGCCTCTGCTGTGTGCGCCCAGGCCTGCCCCAGACCCAAAGGCAGCCCCAGGCCAGGATGCACAGAGACTACACTCAGGACCTCAGCCCACAGCATCTCCCCTGAAGTCCAAACAGAACCTGGAGCTTGAACTCTGCCTAGGGATAGCACCTAGATAGGGGCCACCTCCCTGGCCTTGGCACACACTTCATCTTCAGAGTCCTGGCCCAGAATGTCCCGCTGGACTCCTATCCCCCGCTGTCGCCCTCTCTGTAGATCCTGGGCCAGGAACACTGCAGATTTCTGCTTCTGCAGCTGCAAGGATGGGAACTCTGGATGCTATGTGGTTTCCTCTGGACCCAAAGATGTTCCTCCTAAGATAGCAGCCAGCAGAGGTGTCTGGGAGTCCAGCAGCACAGAGTCTGCCAGTGTCCTAAGTGGCCACTACTGACTGGGCGACCTTGGAGATGACATTTATTTATCCTCTCTGAGTGTCAGCTTCCTGCTCTGTACAACCAAAGGGGATGTCAGTCCAGAAGGATCTGTGATGTGTATGGTATCGGCACAGCTGCAAAAGTTATTTCCCTCCCTTCTATCCTTTTCTGAAATGCAACTAAAATCTGCCTCCTCCACTGCCACCCTGCACCCAGGTATCTCAGACCACACAGAACAAGGCCAGCAAAAGGGCAAGAAATACTGGGGCCAAAGATGAGGGATTGGAGGATACCAGGAGGTGGATTTTAATTCTTGACCTCCTACCCACTAGCTTCGTGCCTGTGGGACAATCACTCAGGACCTCAAGCCTCAGCTTCCTCTTCTGTTCACAGGGATGACATCACCTCTACCTCACGGGCAGGCTGCCAGGTCCACGATTACAGATGTAAGCTGAAAGTCGCCAAATCCTCGATCCTTCCTATAATTATCATTTCACGTCTGACAGCCCTTTAATTATGTGAAGACAGTGATCAAGTCTTCCCCCGC